ACCCCAAATAGGAATCGCTTGTTGGGGACCAATGATTGCATGCAGGGGAAGATGCGGCTGGCGAGGCACACACTTTCCCAGCTCCCAAAGCAATCCACATCCGCTAGTCCTTTGCGAATTCCCGTGCCGTGGCCATCTAGGGGCCGCGAGGTCGAACCGAATGAAGCGGCCGTCAGGTCGGCATTCAACATGTCAGCAACCACATGGTTCATTGCCTTGAGATGGTCCTGCGTTTGATGGGTCGAGAAATCTGCGTGGCAGTTGTTCCTGCGGAATTGATGTGTGCCATCCTATCCTTCTCCTTCCGACCATGATGTGCAGTCTTCCTGTGTCTGTGTGCCAGTTCCTAAGCCGCCAGTTGCCCTCGGCAAGCACTAACGTTGGATGCATCAATGTCTTCGGCATTTCCCCGTGCTTGGCACCAGTTGCGTCTGATTGCCCATGTTTCGTCGAATAGAGAAACGTACAGCACCAGCATGCTGGGAATCCCCTGGCAAGATCCCAACAACTACCCTCGAAATTGTGGCTTGAAGGGAAGCAATCATTGAAACCGCCCGCGAAAGTAGTTTGAGAATCCCACTAAATGCTCTACTTGAATCAGGCTATCCTTTTTGGTGGTCACTGGTGGATTGATTTGGAACCCGGTACATTGAGAGCCCTAACCTCCAAACTCCCCGGAAAACATGAGAACATACTTCCAGTAGTGATAGCTTCCCTCTAAAACACCAGGGCACACATTCAAAGCAACAAAACCAAAACACAAAAATCTACTTCAGGGCATGAAAACGCCGGCTGGGGCGAGCCCACCGACCCGACAAAAAGGCCACGCCAAGCCGCCACGCTGGCGGGCCAGCTGCAAGTGAAGGCCACCCGGAAGGCCACCAAGTGCGCCGTCACGGGGCGATCCTTTGACCCCGGATTCATACACCCCAACGTTTCTTTGGGCCCTGGTTTTAGGGATTTCTCACTTAGGGGAACACCCCCATATTAATAGACAGGGGTAATTATTATTTCGGGGTCAACATTAGCGGGAAAAAAAGCTGGCCATGCGTCAGCATATGGATGGACCAAAGTCCTACAGCAAATAGACAAAACCCACGAACACTGGTAGCCGCCTATCAACTGGTGCAGGCTTTTTCGCCATCAAAACGAACTCGAGGTTCCATAGAGCTCGCCTTTGAACACGCCAAAAGAAACATCACTTTGCATCAGCTAACGGTCCAAAAGGGCACCTACAGTATGATCACCACATGGCTCGCTGCAATCTGACTTCCTAAAAGCTGCTTGCCCAACAGGGACGCCTGCTTGCAAAATGCACAATATCGTTGAACTTGTACCTGCTTTCTTGTGCCCAAGGCTCAAGCTATCTTTATCAAGGTTCCCCAACCAGAACATCCCCAAACCACTCTCAATCAACTGGTGCAAATTTATCCTTCAGGGGCCCGGCAACCGGGCCACAACGGCCACGTGCCGAGGCACAGCCTCCGCAATCAGCCGCAACAGCCGGCACTGCTCATTCTGGAGGCTCTGTAGACTTCCTGCTGCGTCCTGCAGAGAGTGCCAAGCGGCTGGGCATTGGGCAAACCCTCATCAAACACATGACTATTCATTTGAACAGGGGACCAACTCACAACTGCGTCGGGGGGCACGAAACCCCACCGAAATCATGTCCACTAAAGGGTCCCCTGTTAACATTGACGCCTACATGTGTGAGTGTGTGTGTGTCTGTGTATGTCCGAGGATGCCCTTGTGAGTCAACTGTTAAGATTGGTTTGAAGGCAAATGATAAGGAACCACTTCTTGGGCACACACCCCAATTGGTCTTGGATAGATGTATCTTGGGAGAATGACTTGGTGAACCCAGCCCTGCCCCCGAGTGGACAAATGGCCGGGAGTATACGTGGCGGAATGCTGCGATCCAGGGCAACAGCCTGTCATGTAGCCTCAAAGGAGTGGACATTGCCTAAACATCATCTGGATAAATCTATAGCTTGAAGAACATTTAAGTGTGCCGCGGCTGTCTGCCTTCCTGCCCCCCGACTTATATATCTCTCATCGATTTGCCTGCCACTGCTTGCCCTGGCCGGATTCCACATGGCGCCAGAAGGCGCTGCAAGCGCGGGGCAGCGAGTCGGCCAAAAGCTCCTGCAACCAGTGACCTTTCCCTCCCTTGGAGAGGAGCGAGAGTGACCCGAACCGCCGAAAAAGAGAACCCTTGTAGCGTTGACCAGATTGAGTTTAGATTTGTCTTGCTAGTGGCATTTTTCGATTTTCAGTGGGAGCCCACAAACAAACAGGGATTTAGAGGGTGAACTGCTGGGCTCTCTGGGATGGATTGATCATGATCGCACAGGGCCTTGGAAAACTCAGGCGACCAAGTCGCCGGCCGAGACCAACAAACCACGAGCCAAGGTCAAACAAAACACAACACCACGTTGGTCTGCAAATTCTTACACACACACACACCGCTGAAAGTTCATATCCAAACGCGAACATCGATGCCCCGCAACATCCAACTAGGAAAGGAGTGTCACCCCGCAAAACATGATTTCCCTTGTGCCCACATGTGCCCACAAGGGAAGCGCATGGGGCAAAGTACTTGTATTGGGGGTACGCCAACCCTCGCCAAGTGGGTGACCTGTTGATTGTATTGGCCTAAAGCCAATGCAAGGGTTCGGGCATTAGCAGCCTTGAATTACAGTCAATGGAGCAACCTTCTTGCCCACCAACAGGTACGGGGGGTTGGGGATACGACTCCGAAAAAGAGTCCACGCAGAACTTCGAATATCTGAAATAATATGAAACAATACATATACGCGACCCAAGCAAAGAACCTTTACCCCAGGGTCAGCGCGGCCATAAAGCATGCAGATAGTGTAGTCCTCGGCCGCCTCTTCTAGGATGTCCGCATCATCGCTTCCTTGGGAAGGAGTCTCAGTTGCAACCATTTGTAGTGGGGAACCCCAACAGAGAGACCAGGGTTCTTCCTAGGACAGTCCCAGTTACATCTCTTGTGCCAAAACCGTGGTCGGCTACCATCAAAAGCAGGCCAAACATAATCACAATTTGGGAAGGAGTGGCTTTTATGGATACCAAAGAATACGGCCTGCGAACTGCCAATGCACAACATGTCATTTTGTTTGTCAGATATGTGGCGGCTGTCTCTTTCTTGGCACCCTTCAGACGAACCCAAACAAATTTCTCGGCGCTCAAAGGAAACCAAATCGGGGATGGCTCTTCTCGGGGTCGGCTCTCTCGCTCCGCCCCCTCCCACGTTCCAGGGCACGCTGCACTTCCTGCAGGTCGCTGCGCGCCGCAGCCTCCTCCCATGGCCTCAAATGCACAGCATTAAGCTTGAGGGACCCTCCAAGCGGTGGGTTGGCCGGCAAACACCGCAGGGCTCCTCAGATTCCTTGCCGCCGCTCCCCCTCCTCAAAAACAAAAAACGCATCACCTCAAGAGGAAGCGCATCTAGTGGCAACTTCGGGTGATGTTGAAAAGGGGGCGTGACGGGCTGAACATCACCTGACCCACCCGCCATCCGACCCGCCAAGCAGCGAAGAGAACTCCAGTTGAACGCCTGCGAGCTGAGACCTCGACTTTGGAAGGGACGCCGTGCACGGAAAGGTACCAGAGGTTGCGACCAGTGACCCGAACCACAGAACAAAACAATCTTTCTGCATGTGTTATTTTTGTTGGGGGGGGGGGGGCGGGGTGCCAATACACCATTTTAAGTGGGTTCCCCCCCCCCAAAAATGGTGGGGAACCCAAAGAGAAGGGGTTTGTTGTTTTTTAGGTGGGTGGGGAATTCAAACTGAAAGACATGGATTTAGAGGATGGAACCCACTGCACTGCGAATTCTAGATTCGATTCTAAAGCCAAGACGCTCGAAAGTGGTGCAAAGGCTGTCACAGCTAAGCTTTAGCAGCTCTACTGTTCGCTCCAGCGCCATGGCCAGGTCTCAGCCGAATTCATGTGTTTGTTTTTCTCCATGGCTTGCCGCTTGAAAAGCCACAAGCATACTGTCTGGGTCATTTCGGATTATAATATGACTGCAACCTTCCATTTGGTTAAGACCCCCGGAAGAAACAAACATATTTCCAGTAGTGATAAATTCCTTTTAAAACCAACAAGGGAAAATAACACTCTTAAGCAAATGGAAGTAACTCACCAGCCGCCAGAGGATCCTGGATCCCCAAGTAAGCAACCTTAATTTTTGTGACCAATATCTGAGATCTTTGTGACACCGAAGATCGATAAACTTTGCCCAAGGAATTCATACATAAATACATACATTCCAACAGCCATCTGCAAAGCTGAAACAAACTCATCCACATGGCCATGGAAACTGGGCAATAGGGCTCACTGGCGTCAACTTGTTTTGTAGCAAGCAAAAAAACATGGCTCAGGACAATGCCGCCTTGCCCAGTCCCCGCAACAACTCTGCGGCGTATTCAACGTGCATTAACTCAGCTCATGTTCCCTCTGCATTCTGAGCCAATGGCTACAGGACAGCTCCCGATGACGCAGAAAGATTGAGCAGCGGCCGGCACCAAGGATGGGCTACGTGAAGCCCACGCAGTTCCGACAGTTCGTGAAACGTAGCCAATTTGAGTGGCTTTCACCACTTTCACCAAAGGACAATTCCCAATCAACGCAGCACAGCGCGTTAATTACAACACAAAGAAAAGAGCCGACGCGACTGGAATAAGACCCCTGTTGAGGGAACAACGCACCCATCCCAGATCAGGTCGCAGAAAAGTGGTTGACTTGGATACCATCCGAGTACAGTTCGCAGCAAAAGCTCAGGCTCTGACTCAAGATGACTCAAGTCACGTTAATATAGGCTACACCCAAGGTGTGGGTTTGCTCTCCTTGGCCCACAAGTGGGTTGTCCAAAAAGAGAGGATCCCGTTTTAGGACTCCATCCCCACGCACCCAACCACGCAGCCACGCTCTCGACACATCCCCTCCCCAGCAGTCATCCAAAGGGTCCCCGCGTCATGAAGCCGCTCAGGACCTGGGCAGGTACGCCCAGAGGAAACTGTCTTTCAGTTGGCCCCCAAACCGTGAAAGGTGATGTCTTAACGGAGCAACAAGGGGGGAACTACCGATGACCAACTCCGCCTCGGCGTCGGGTTTATGGCGCCTGCCACCGGTGCAGCCTGAGGGAGGGCAACTAAATTTCCAACCATGGAAACTGCGACTTCCTGTGAGTGGACCGGCACTTCCTGTGAGACTGGCCGCAAAGATACCTCCCTTCCACTAACATGGCACCTGACAGGGGGCCCCCAAGAGGAAATTCATCTTCCAGGTACCCTCCGGCAAGTGCCATGTTAGTGGGAGGGAGGGCAACCACACCTTTCTGCGACTCACATGGTCCAAGCCGTCAAAAGCGGCTAAAATTGATGGACTGAGGGAGTAGGGAACACATCCACGCGGCCTGCAGCGCCATGTGAAGGTTCAAGAACCGCCTGCTTTACAAGGGAAGACTAAATCCAGCTGATAAAGGTGACTTTTCAACTGGCCCAAACGTACTTACACATTCTACAACTAAAAACGACAACACAACAAAAAGAAGCCCTGTCATAAGAATAACAAAAAAACATTTTCCGGTGAGCTGGTGCCGCCCCCTTTTTTTGTTCGGTCCAGTCCGTCCACAGTCTGCTCCACAAGCAGTGGGAAGAGTTCACAACGGCAATGCAGGAGAAGTTTGCAGCCAAGAAGCAGCAATACATCCAAGCCAAAGAGGCATGGGAATCCGCGCTTCAGGCGGCAACCGAAGAGGAGCAGCAGGAGCTCGAAACACTGCAAATGCTGAGCAACAAGAAGGAGGAGCCACTGCCCAACTTCACACCACCCATGCTGCCAGCGCCCAAGCAGTCACCAGCCCAGCCAGCTGCTCCCCAAGCCAACCCGACAAGCCACACCAGGCGAGGTGACCGGACGCGACGCTTTTCAGGAGGTGACCAAGAAACAGCGTACCGCGAGAAAGGATCCGAACGACACCAAAAAGAAGCAGGACGATACGAAGCAAACCAAGCTCACCGCGTTCCCCAAAACACCTACCAGGGACCGGAGCAGAAGCAGTGGCGGGTCGCAAAAGCAGAACAGGTACCAAGCATTGGAGGAGGGAGAGCAGGACAGACAGGAGGAGGAGAAGCAGGGGTAGAAGGTACTGACAGGGGAGGTAGCTTGGCGCTCCCCTGTTCCGACGCAAACCCCGGCCAAGCTGTCTGTGTTGCACGGGCCCAAGGCCTAATCTCCAGACATGCCAAGGAGAAGGGTCGCAAAAGAGTTTCCTTCTACGAGTGCCCCGAAGTGCTTCTGTTTCATATTGGGGAACCCATCCAAAAGCAAGGAACCTCTTCCGCAAGTGCTGTGCCAACGCGGCACGACACCGTCGTAGCTCCTGCAGAGGTTCCAGAGTCTGCAAGTGTTGATCTTTCCAAAGCTGCACGAGCATTCCATCTTATTGACCTCCAGTGGCCCAATGATGTGGTTAGACTCGAGCTTCCGGAAATCCAATGGCACGCAAGCACGAGAGAGGCCTTTACTCATCTCCCCACAAGCTTAGATTTCCAACCTGCAGGAGCCATCTTTTACACCGATGGCTCCTACACCAGCCAACCGGTTGGTGGAGCGTGGGCCACACTGCTGATCTGGCAGAGTGAGAGCGGGCAACTTGCTTGGGGTGGCGCAATCAGTGGGCTTGTCAGTGAACCTGCGGACTCGTGTGAAGTTGAGCAGTACGCCCTCACGGCCTCTGCCCTGTGGATGTGGCAGCTTTTGCGAGACTTCGGCCAAGAGCTCACCCTTGAAGTAAGATACGACTCACTTGCCGCAGGCCTGATTGCAGCAGGTCGATGCCGTAGCAACTCCACAGTTGACATTTGCGGTGTTGTAAGGGGTGTTTTCCAACTAATTGAAAATATCAAGACCCCTACCTTCACACACTTGCATTCTCACCAGGGTGAGCCGTGGAATGAAGCTGCCGCAGTACATCCGGCCCCAAGATGCGCGCCTTGCTCTGGCAACCCCTGAAGTGGCTATTGCACGTGTGAATGCCAAATACCTCAGAGCGCTGTTCATCGTTGCGCATGCCCCGACAAGTGCCTCCAGCCACGATGAATACGATGTGTTTTGGCAACAGGTGAAAAAGTGTGTTGCTACTTTTGACCCGTCGTGGCAAGTGTTTGTTCTGACCGACTCGAATGCCACTATAGGGTTTGAGGAGCACTCGCTCTATCCGAGAAACTGTGGGGACCATCAGTTACAAGTCTCCTCGCCGCATAGCATGTGTTTTGCCGCTGCCATGCATGCGCTTGGAGTTGGGCTTCCTTCAACCTTCAGCTCGGTCCACCACGGCCCTGCAACCACTTATGTTGGTCCCAAGAAGGGTTGCAGACGCCTTGACCACATTGGGGTTCCGGTCCAAATGTTGCAGTCAGCCCTGATCGAATCCTTTGTTGATGACAGGATTGACCTTGATATCAGTTTTCAGGATCATAAGGTTGTGACTCTTGAATGCACACATATGAGCAAGGCCACCGGATCGAACACTTCTCAGAGGCCGAGTGTGCCGTACAGCACACCGGCAGTGGCTGACCCTGGTGCCGCCATGAGAGCTGCTCTGCATCAATCCACCACAGCGGATGATTGCTCCGCTGTCGCAAGTAGTCACATGCATGCCATGACGCTTGAGGATGTAATGCGCCGCGAGGCAATCAAAGTGTTTCCTAAGGTTGCTGCCCCTCGCAAGCCTTTCGTTAACCAGGAGACTTGGTTACTTCTTCAAAGTAAAAAGAAGAAGAGAATTGCCCTCCTCAACGCCGAAGAGCGCGAGCGATATTTCATCCTCAGTCAATGCGTTGCTGCATGGCGCGGCCAAGAGCAGGTATTCAACCGTAGGGTGCTTGTTGCGCTCCAACACCGTTCTGCTCAGCGCCTGCGCGAGTTTCTCCTGCTCAAGAGGCAGCTCGACCGCGCAATCCGGAGGTGCAAGGTTGACTACCTCGAGCGCGTAACTGGTGAAGCGCGGCAAGCGCAATCGCAGGGCGGTATGTCTGCCTTGTGGCAGCTTCTCAAGCCCATGCTACCGAACAGCAAAGCCAGGGTTCAGCGACAAACGCTTCCAATGATGAGTGTCTACGACCAAGCGCTTGAGCATTTTGCCAGCGTTGAGGGAGGGGACAGGGTCACCCCCAAACAGCTGCTTCAAACAAGGAGGGATGCTCCCATCAAACTTGCTTCCAGGGTTGGTTCTGAGAACATCCCCACTTTGACTCAGATAGAGGGTGCGTTTGCCAAAGCAAAAACTGGAAGGTCACCGGGCGAAGACTTGATCAAGTCTGAGCTTCTCAAACTTGCCAACGCTGAGTGCGCGCGTATGTGGTGCCCTGTGATTCTCAAGAGCTTTTTGCTAAGCGAGAGTCCACTGACTTTCAAAGGGAGCACTCTCATTCCTTTGTGGAAAGGCAAAGGGAGTAAAGGTGACCTTTCACAGTACAGGAGTGTGCTATTGGCAACATCTGTTGCCAAGTCCGTTCAAGGCGTAAGCCGACATGCCCTGATGCAGCACTTTGAAGCGTGCATGCCGCCAGCGCAAATGGGTGGTCGAGCTTGCTTGCAACCAGTGTTTGCCACTCATGCTGTCAGGTCTTTCCTGGTTCAAGCTAAGGCCCTCAAATGTTCCAGCGCCGTGCTTTTCGTTGATCTCAAGTCTGCTTTTCACAAGCTTCTTCGGGAGGCGGCCGTTGGATGTTTCCGATCAGATGCACACTTCTTTCAATTGTTGAGCAGACTTCGCATGAGTGAGCCTGCGCAAGCTGCTGCTGTTGCCCTGCACGCGAACACCACCTCACCGCTACAAGGAGCCCCTTTGGTGTTACTCAATCACCTCCGTGATCTTCAACTTGGCACGTGGATGTCGGATCTTGGTACAGAGGCCATTGCTAGCAGTGAACTTGGGACTCTCCCAGGGACCCCTCTAGCTGATGCCTTGTTCAACGTCGCAATGACCAACATCCTAAACGACATCACTGATCAGCTAGCCAGCTGGGGAATCTGCACCAGCTTGCATTGCTCTCAGGGCACGATGCCGCAGCCTTTACCGCCAATTGCTTGGGTTGATGACTTGGTGCTTCTTGTTGAGTCTGAGAGTGATGAGAGCCTCATTGAACAGCTTGGGCAGCTTGTTTGTATTGTTGATCAAGCCGCTGCTGAAGCTGGCCTGGAGCTCAACATGTCCAGTGGCAAAACTGAAGCAATTCTCAATTTCTCTGGAAGCGGGGCTGCCAAGTCGCGAAGAACCGTTCTCATTGATCAGTGTGCGCAGATTACGGTTGTTGGTCCAGAGGGGGCTGAGACCAAACTGCGTGTTGCGCCCGAGTACAAACACCTTGGGCAAATACTTACGCCCGACGCCGGCGTTGGGCCTGAAATCCGCAGGAGGATTGCACTTGCCAACTGTGCACTTTCACAGCTTCGTAAAAGCATTTTCCGCAACAAAGGTCTCTCACTCGGAGCGAGGATTACCATTCTTGAGTCAACTGTGTTGAGTAGATTGTTCTTCGGTTCCCAATCATGGCACAAACCAGGAACGCGCGCCAGCAGAGTGCTTGAGGGTTTCTACATGAAAGCCCTGCGCAGTGCAACCAAGTGTATCCCAGGGCCTGCTGCTGAGCATTTCACCAACACCCAGGTGCTGAGTTTTGCCGGCTTGCCCTCCGTTGAGTGGCAGCTTAGGAAACGTAGGTTGCTGCACCTCTCGAACTTGGTTTTGAGGGCTCCTCATTTTGTCCTTCAACTCCTTCTCAATGAGGACAAAAAGACCCATCAGTCGTGGTTAAACCTTGTTGCGCAGGATATTACTTGCATGACTGCCTTGGTAGGGTGCTCGCTTAGTGGACTTGAGGCAGGGTTCACTTGGGAAAGGTTGTTCGGCTACGTTCGCCAGCAACCAAAAAAATGGAACTTGGCGGTTCGTAATGCTGTTGCAGCTTCAGTTGCCCGCAGGCACTTGGTCAACGACTTGCAAAACTGGAGCAAACGAATCCAGAGGCAGCTTCAAGATATTGGGGCTGTTGCGAATTCCTCAAGCCGGGATAGTGCCACCTGCACTGCTGTGGATCATGTGTGCGTAGAGTGCGGGGCTTCGTTTGGCACTCCTCAAGCTCTTTCTGGTCACAAATGGGGCAGGCATAAGTCATACTCTGAGGTAAGGAGGTACACTTACGCTACTCATTGCGCCGTATGCTTAAAGGAGTTTCACACCTCCCATCGCATGCATGTGCACCTGCGCTACAGTGCTACCTGCCTTAAGTTTTGCCAGCAAAACTTACCCCCTCTTTGTGAAGCCGACTTCATCAATGTATCATTGGGGGAGCAATACCGAGGTCACAGGAGAATTCCGTATGTCAGGTTGCAGGGTCCGTTCCTTGGCAGTGTTGAAGAGTGGCAAGACTCAAATCTGATAGGTCCCCGTGAAGACACGTGTGGCAATGAGGCCCCAGGGCTGCCTTCAGTTGTGCCATACAAAAAGAAGGTTGCCCCCAAGCCTACCGAAGCTGATGAGCATGTGCTGGTTCTTGATCGCCTTTATGAAGCTGATTGCCAAGTGCACTTTGACTTTCGGCAAGCCTGTGTCAACGCCTCCACTGTTGCCCTGACACTGGTTGGAGGCAGAAGAACGTATTCTGTGCTTGACTTGTTTGCGGGCCCAGGCAACTTCCGGCAGCATGTTGAAGAACTTTGCCAAGCGCTTCCCTTTGACATTTGTGTGCTTCCTGTGAATTTTGCCCATGGCCACAAACTTGGAGACCTCGGTTCCCCGAAAACAGTTGATTGCCTCATCCGTTTTTGCAAACAGGGACTTGTCTTAGCGGTTAAGGGTAGGCCACCTTGCAAGACCTGGAGGTCAGCTCAATCAGCAAAACCGTTTCGATCCAGCAGACAGCCGTGGTCGATTCCTCTCCGCCGACACAAGGAATATTGCCACTTGCGCACGGACAGTGTGCTTCTGCAGGCATGTGTTGCAATTATGCTTGCCACTTACGCTTCGGGTGGCGCCTTCTTGCTTGAACACCTTGGAGAGCCTAAGAACCTCTACTCGGCTAGTATTTGGAAACTTCCGCAAATTAATTGGGTCCGGGCCCTCCCCAACGTTATCTTTGACAACATCTGGCTCAGAGAAGGGGGCCATGTGTCATCACGCGGGCCTCCTTGGTAATGTCCCGCACTGGTGCAAAATCCGAGATGTGCGCATTGGCAAACTTGGTGCTTGCCCCTCCACGCTTTGCTACGCTTTTGCTGAGTGCTGTCGAGAGGTTGCCCTTGTTGTTGATGGAAGGCAGCAAGGCAGTCAGGCACCTGACCCTGCCGCTGTGCGCCTTTTAGGGGAGTACCGAAGCTTGTGCCTGTCTGAGGAGACCGGTCATGACTTCGATCCGAATTAATGCAAGGCTGCGTCCAGACATGGACTCTCTGCCGCACAGGAAGCAGGAAACAGTCCGTCCGCCAGATGCGTTGGGCCCCCGGGCCACAAAGAAGTTCACCGCCGCATTGCCCCGGTGACGGAAGGAGGTGAGGGGCGTCGGCCTCTCCACCTGCAACCCGTGATGTCTTGTGACCTCCCGAGCGGCTTTCATGTTTGGCAGGCGTCGTCTCATTAGGAAATGCGTCTTCCAACATTGGCCTGTGCAACTCAGGTTTTGGGTGTCTCACTCACTTCATCTGTGGCTTTCCATGGTTGAAAATCAACTCAGAAAAATCCTTGTCTTTTGGTTGTCGCCCGGTGACACTGTGCTTTGATTGTTGCCCCCTTGCGCAGGACTGTGACATGCCGAGGCAAGCGTAGTGCGATTCGCTGGCAAAGGCAAGCATGCATGCACTTACATCAAGTCAAGTACGTGCACACAGAGACCAACACACACACGACATGTAAATGTCCGGTCCGCCAGCAAAGCCGAGGAGACAGCTCCCGAGGGCGGCACATAAATGAAGTGGCCGCACACGATCCAGGCCTTGTCAAACCGCCCGGTAGCTTGCCATGTCCAAACCTTCGGCCAGTTAGCACCTATCCGGGTGCTTCTTCTTTTTTGCGGGGGACCCTTTTTGGCTTCCGCTAAATCCAACACAGAAAAACGTGGTACCCTCCCGGTCGGCCCAACTTTTTTTCTCCCAGGCCCCACGCCGAGGCAAGGCAGCGTGCCCCTGTGAGGTGGCCTGCGACAGCGCGTAGGTCCCTACCCCATAGAAAACCCTCCCATCACTTAACACGGAACCTGACGTTTTGGGGTCCGGGTTCGGACCAGTTTTTTTCCATTGGTTCCATGTTAAGGGCTTTTGGCTTGGTTCAAGGGGGTTCGTCCACGAAACATTTCTCAAATCACAGAACACATGAGGTGCTTGGACCCTTAGGGCTGAGACCTCTTGCGTCGTGAGACTGACATCCGTTTGCGGTGCCACTGGGGTTCAAAACATATGATTGACAACACAAGCTTCAAGTTTACAATCCCTCGCCACTCTTCATGACCAATCCAACCCACCAATTCAATTGACATGTGAAGTTTTCAGTTTGGCTAAAACTGGCCACCGGTTTCAGCTATTCTGATCATTTGCCATCGCTATTGATGTTTCCTGAAGGACACCCATACCTATGCTGCGTGCGCATTTTCAGCCGCAAGCATGGGCAGCTTGGCCATTGCAGCCTCAGCTGTTGAATCTGTTGGGGCACAGGCTGAAAGGCCAAAGGCTGTCGGGATGAGTAGTTGCCCTCTGCGACACTCACAAATACTCCGGCAACTCACGTCACCCTCCATGCAAACGCGGACAAGCTAGAAGTACCACACAGTGAGGTGTTGGCCACAACGGCCTGCAGCCAACTTGAGCTAACATGCAGCAACGTTACCGGGAAGGGGTTCGACTGATGTGGGCAAAGAAGTATGCCTGAAGGTGATTCTGCCTTGTGTTGAAACAAACGGCACGCAGCCATTGCCTTGTTTGTCGGGTTTGGGGGGTGACATTGGAAAGCGTACTGGTGACTAAATAGCTTTTGTTGACAAGCAGAAATCCCAAATGACACAAACATACAACATGCGGCCATGCACCCCAACTTGATCACTTAAGACTCAAGACAGGTAGTACTTCGAGGTTCAAACGGTTGACACGATTGAAATGAAGGATCCCCAAACAACTGCTTTTCTCACGAGCGAGGTCGGTTTGGTCGGTTTGCCCCCCATCCAGCAACGCAAACATGTTGCCGACACTCCTTTTGAGAATCCCATCTCTTTGCAAGGGCCAACGGCAATGGGACCCCCGCCTCCATCTTGGGCCCAATTTCCCTCTGCAAACAAAGCATCTGGCTGCCGTGGTAGGGCAAAAAAAGAAAGCCCAAACGGAACCAACCGGGCAAAAGCAGCAAACGAGTGTTATAAGCACGGCATTGAACTTCCGATAGGGTTCATTCAATGGCCAAGCATGCGTCCAACAACCTCCTGCTTTGCAAGGGTCCCCCCCCCACTCAAGCCCCCCCCCCAGCGGCCATGGTGCGGCGCTGAGGTCCCAAAGGAAGCCCAGGCAGCTTCCCTTGGACCGACCCTCGCAGGCGTTGATCCTCGGCTCCATGGCTCCGCGGCCAACTCAAGCCAAGGGAACCACCCAGACCCATGGCTCCCTCTCCAAATCCAAGGCAACCCTTGTGGTTTAAGCAAAGACACCACCCCCACAAAAGGGAGGGGGTAATCCAACCCTCTTTGTGGTTTTCAAAAAGCAAGGAAACACCACACCATGTCTTTTCTATTTCTTGTTTGGGGGAGAGAGGTGCCCGACTTGGAGACAAGCTTGGGGAAGCCTTGAAGCCAGTTGAAAGCACCTCGTGACCCCAGCGAAACATGCGGATCACGTAGCCATTGCAACCTAACACCTGGAAACACCTGGCAGTCCTGGGATTGTTTAGGGCATGGTGAACCTTGGGGCCATCAACAGAATCCGGGAAAAGCCCCGCACAGATCAATCAGGAGCTCGCGACGCAACGGAGCACCCGTGTCCACGTGCGAGCTGTCCCCCCTCAAGGAACAAATGGAGGTTGGATTTTGGGCCCAACCGAACCCGGACCGAGCCCAAAACCGATGGCTCACGATTTCTTCGCCCTCTGCACATGGCAATCAGCTCCCCTCATGGTTGGCTTGCGCCACCGAAGGCGCCTGCCAAACCCGGACGTATCGCCGAGGCACAGGAAGCCACAGGCCTGGGCACCGGCCTCCAGGCTTAGCTCCTGGTTCAAACCCCCCAAAAGGAAGCCCAACGCCCAAATCCGAAAGGTACACAAGGCCAGATCTTCAGGGTCGGCTTCATACTTAGGTAACTATATCATAGTTTTGGAGGAGGACCCAGTTAAAGGGAAGCCCGGAGGTTGCTTGAACAAGAATGGCTGAATCATGGTTTTCAACAAGCGGCTGACCCATGTTGATAGCTGCTACATAGCTGTTTGCCTGCATGCTTGGAAACCAAAAACACCGAGGCCTGGATGGGAGAGTCAAAATGGCGATGCCAACTTGTCCAACAAAAGCTGTCTAACCAAGCGACACCAGGGTGCGAAGCACATAAACTCTGCGCACCATGGAACAAACCCATTCGTTTGATTGCTTACCAAACAAATCGGATAACAGCCATTTTAAATAATCTTCACACGGGGCAGCAACGTAACAAACCCCCAAGATAACAGGGATGAAATCGTGGGACGAAACCATAGTTCACAAACCGGGATTACAAAAATCCCCAAGCAAAGCACCTCATGAGTGAGGTCACCCTACTCTGCGGATCAGCAGGTTATTTGTCGCAAATAGTGGGTGACCCTAAATCAACGGGTTCTTACCCCTGGGTTCTAAAATGCTACACACATGCTTGTCCTTTGGTGCAAGGCTACCCGACCCCATGGCCAAGACTTTGATTTAGTTGGGGACCATCAAACAACTCGTCGCCAATTTAAGGTCCCAGCGGACATCTCGGCTCCTCCAAATCTCGCAGGAGAAGCAGCGCTTGAATCCACTGCCTCAAGCTCCAAAGCTGTGTCACCTCGATATGGTTTTTTGTTTCTTCTTTTTTTTCGGCTTGGCCTCAAGCAAATTGGGGGTCGAAGCGGGTCACAGCTGCAGGAGGTATTTTGTGGGTGGGACCCGACCTGCGAGCCTGAAACAAACATGGATATCGTTGGTCCGGGGGTGCAAGAAAACGCGCTTGCGAGGATTGCAAACTATAGATAAACCAAGGGCTTGCCATATTCGTCACGATACCCCATGACTGGTGGCGGCAATTGCCAGAAACCATCGACAAGCAACAACAACACCATGGAAAAGCCAGCAGCTGCACACCCAGCTAGGCCTTGAATTTCCATCCTCTCAGCTTGTGGCATCCTGGCAACGACAACCTTCCTAAGGATCGCAAACGCACGCCCCAAATCCAATCCGTCCAAGCTGAAACAATCACTCGGTCTTTGGCCCGGACGCGTGGTGGCATGCCGCTGTGATAGCAGCACGGTAACTGATTGCATCCCGGTCGCCTCGGGCGCGCAAGCGGATTTTGCGATCATAGGCGCATCATGGGCGTCCTTCTCCAAGAAACAAATGGCACGGGCAAATGACGTGCATCTGCCTGTACGCTCCTCATGTGTCACCCCTGCGCAGTACGGTGCTGAACAGCAACACTTGTAGCGCCCAGGTTCTGAGGAAGCAAAGGCACCGCATGCAGGCCTGCTGGCATGATTGACAATCAGCTGGTTTGAACTGGCCACAAGCGGGGCTGGGGTGGTGTCAGGGGCAACATGTAAAGAAAGCCAACCAGTGTCAAACCCAACCAAACTTAATGTCAGTGTAGAGATTTCCCCTTCTTTTGCCTCCCAGATTCCCTCCAATACCAAAGTAAAGGGCCAACAAGGAATTCTCCAACAAACCCTACACAAACATTTTTAGACCTCCCCGCCCTCCTCCCCCTTTTCGATTGAAGATTCTTTGCGGGGTTTTCGTGCTCGCCACAACGGCTTGATGCGAGTGATCAACCCCACACCCCTTTGATAGGCAGCAGGCTTGTCTTCACCAGGAGGTCCAACGCCCTTCTCCAGCGCCGTCCTCTACGCCAAACGGATGTCATTTTGGGGACTGCCTTTGTGGAGGATTCGACTTTCGGTTTGACGGTTCCGTTAAAAGATTTGGCTGGTTTCACAAAGAAGCCACCGGGAAATAAAGCACCCCCTGCAAAGTAGCTTACGGATGCAAAAGCATGTTTTGCCCAGACCCTTCACAATACAAACTATGACCAGGACACAACACAAACACAACCAAAAATATATATCGAGAACGGTGGAGTTGTGATCGTTTTTGGGACGTCTGAATCAGCAAGCTGCACTTGACTTGCACAGAAAGGCACTTTGACTTCGAAAGCTACCAAAACAGGCTGCAACAAGTGGGAGGTAAGCACGTGCTTGCTCACTGGGCCGCAACCACATGCAACAGGCATGTCTAGCGCCAGTCCTTTCTCACAGGCGCTGATGGCTGCATTCCAACCTGGGATGAGCTTTGATGAGCTTGGGCCGGCACGATTTGGCCATGTGATCAACTGTGCCAATCAAACAGGCTTTGCACTTTGACAAAATGGGTACACCTGTGCTACTTTGCGTGTTTCAATAACAACGAGTCCACACGAGAGCAAACATACATGGCGGCGGAGAAATTCGCCTCGGCCCCAAAGGGGCCAAGGGCGCTCAGATCTCTTCTCCAAAGAGAATCTTCGCTTTTCCCCTCCCCCAACCCCCTCCCCCCCGCCCCCCCCCCCATGTCGGCTGGACCCAAAATCCTGTCCGGCGGGCCTTGAAATTTTCGGGGTTCGTCGGCGTCCAGCTCCATGGGTCCATTTTTGTCGAAAATGTGCTGACAATTGCGAAAATCACTAAAAAATTGCTTTTTTGTCCTGAAAAGCATGACCTCCTGGTGGCCAGGCCTGCCTGACGTGTCTGAGACTAGGCTCAGGCCCAGCCCAACCAGCAGCCCGCCTGCTGGCCAGGCCTGTCAGCCCCACCCAGCCTCAGGCCCAAGCTTGTCTGAAACAGGCCTACCCCAAGTCATCCAGCAAGCCCAGCCCAGCGCCCAGCCCAGGCCCTAGGCCGGCCCCAAGGTCAGGTTTGTCTAACGCCAACGACCCAGTCTCACGTGTCTGAAACTGGTCTCAAGCTATGCCAGCCACCAAGCCCGTCTGACGTGCCCCAGCCCCCTCAGTCCGGCTGCCCAAGCAACTCAGCCCCTCCTGCTTGCGTCTGGCCCCAAGCCATCCAGCAGGCCCAGCCCCGTCTCAAAGTACGCCAGCCTGAGACTGGCCTCAGGCCCAGCCCAGCCAACTCGCCACCCAGCCTCGGGCCCAAGTGTGTATGAAACAGGCCTTGCCCATCCAGCAACCCGCCCAAGCACAGCTCAGCCCAGCCCGCCCAGCCCAAGTTCCAGGCACAACCAGCGTCCGGCTGCCCGGCAGCCAGCAACCCACCCATGGCTTCGCAGCCTCGTGGCTGAGACTAGCTTCAGGCCCAGCCCAAAGCCTGCCCAGCCCAGGCCCCAGCGCATCTCAGGGCATGCCAGCCACTACCGGCCCCCAGCTCCCAGCCCACCAGCAGGCTCAGCCCAGTGTGCCAAGGTCAGGTTTGTCTAACATGTCTGAGACTGGCCTCTGAGACTGGTCTCAAGCTATGCCAGCTACTCAGCAGCCCAGGCTGACCAGGCCCCTTCGGCGCAGTCTGAGACTGGTCTCAAGGTATGCCAGCCTGAGACTAGCCTCAGGCCCAGTCCCTCAGCCCGCCTGCTGGCGTGTCTTACGTGTCTGCGACTGGCCTCAGGCCCAGCCTAGCCAGCAACTCGCTACCCAGCCTCAGCCCATCCAGCAACCCGCCCAAGCACAGCTCAGCCCAGCCAGCCGAAGTTCCAGGCGCAACCAACACCATAATCCAGCTGCCCAGCACCACCCATGGCTTCGCAGCCTCGTGGCTGAGACTAGCTTCAGGCCCAGCCCAACCAGCAACCCGCCTAAGCCAACCCCACCCAAGCCCACCCGGTTTGAGACTCGCAGGCCTCAGCCTATCTAGCGCCGAGACTGGGCCTCACCAGCCTGGGCTCAACTAGCGTCTAGCCCAGCCCAGTCCGCCTGCAGGCCTGTCTGACGTGTCTGAAACTGGCCTCAGGCCCAGCCCAGCCATAGCCCAGCCCCCTCAGTGCGGCTGCCCAGCCCGCCGTAAACTAGCTTCAGCTCAACCAACAACCCACGCAAGCAAGGTCCAGCCAAGCTGCCCGAGACTAGCTTCAGGCCCAGCGCAGGCTTATCTGATGTGTCTGAGACTAGCCTGTGGCCCAGCCCAACCAGGCGAGGCCGGCTTGTCTGACTTGTCTGGAGCCAGCTTCAGGTATTCGGACCTTCCCAACACTGGATTTCGGTGTTCCTGACCCTTCCCTCAAACTAGGCTGGGCCGAGGCGGGCAACGCGAAGCGTTTACAATTAAAAGAACTTGGTGTCCAAAACCAGCGGTTTCCCGCATCCAACACCTGGAGTCAAGACAAGCGGACTTCAACAAACCGGAAGGCAGCTGCCCCACTGGCAGATCAAAACCGGACAGCAAAGACCCAGGCAGGTGATAACGACACACTTGCAAGCTCTACGTATGTGTCACCCTCCTACAACACGTGTCAAAGTTGGGAATGCAAACAGTATCTGTATGCTGCGCTGAGGTCGGGTTTGTATTCCCTGATGTCGGGCATGTATTGCCGGATTAACAATCATCGCAAGTGGGGCTTGCTTGCCAATGTCTCTCTCATGTTTGCATGCAGTCTGCCAATTGTGTATGCCAACAACAAATATGTTGACACGCAAAATCCTGCATCAACCTGATGGATTCTTTCATTGGCTTGCCATGAGGTAAATCCAGGACTTGTGAGCCGTGCTGCTAATGGCGCAGGTGGGGATGCGTTGGAAGGCCATGCCGAAGAGTACTGCAACAGCCTCAGGAAGCCACGCCAAGCGCCCACGCAGTCTGACAATCCTCGCCGTGTTTCAGGTTGGTCCCCACAAAATGGTGATTTTCGTTTGGGCTTCCCTTTAACAACCGCCCAAAAACGAGTTCCAACTCAACAAAAAGACGAGCCAACCAATAATACTGCAACTGAAAGCCATAACAAGGGGATATGGGAAGGCTACGATCCATGGCCTCTATTCAGTCGTCACGGCTCCCCTCATGGCTCTGAAGCAGTATATGTTTGCATTGTTGGCCTGTGGTCCTAGAGTTGCTCAAACCGCAGGGCCGCTGAAACATCTTCTGCGTGCCTTAAGATGTGGTATTCAACTACGCCTTGTGCAGGATGCTCTATAGGCTTGCAAGTCCCATGTCGATCGCAATCCCTGCATGCAAACACACACTCATATATCAGATGCGTCCATGTATATATGTAATATGTGCGCTAACATCAAGATATGCGCTCGTGCTTTGCCAGCAATGGCAACGGCAATGGCAATGCACGTGTGACGAGCGGGCTCACACCAAAAACGCTTTATGCCGAGGCATGGGGTGTTTGAAGGGAAACCTAAAAATATCCATTTTAGGTGACCACTTTGTTGAGAAAGCCCATATGTACCGCCGCACTTTTGTTCCTCTCGCGCGGAAAATCCAATCTAAATACAATCCACGAAGCAGGGCATCGCGTCCGCAAACAGAGGTCCCGGTAGGCTGCGTGAGACATCCAAGGGCTGAAAGCCCTTGTGAAAGCAATGGCCAAGCCGTCGTAGCTTTTGCCAACGCGACCAGGGGGCAACACAAGAGCGCGCAAACTCTTTGATGAGCAGATGGCACAAGTATGCCACTGGCAAATAAGTAGAACTAACTAAACTCAACCCGAGGGAGCTATGGTCATGCGCCTCTTACTAGCTGTGTGGCCGCGGCAGATTGCTAGGTCAACCTCCAACTGCTTCCAGCGAGCTCCGGGCTGCGCCCTGCAAGCTCCGGGCTGCACCCCAAAATGGGTGCAGGGAAGCCTATGGTGACTGGCGAACTCCCGCACAAACCGTCTCAAGGCAAGCCCGACTCAAAGGTCCCAGGATACGCCCCTTGGGCCGATGTGGTCGGCTTACTGTCAAGTTTCGAGCCTCGTTTTATTTCCCTTTGAAATGGGCGTGATGCCCACAAGACAAGAACAAGCATTCCCATTCAGGGAGCCACCCCAGGGGCCTTCCGTAAGGGTCTATGGTGGGAGGGTACACCAGGGTGCAAGTACATGGCACAATTCCTGCTGTGTGGTTAAGGAGGATGACTGGGTTTGCTTGTGCTCAGTAGGGAATGTGGGAATGAACCTGGGGAGTCCCTTCAAGGAAACCATAGGGTACGGTATATAGGGGTCATTTTCCCCCATTCCCTGCCTATCGCTCCAGCAAGTAAACCGAGGGGAAGCCAAAGGGCACAACTCTCTCTCGCCTCAAAGGCTCAGTTTCTCCTCAAGCAGCTCTGCAGCCATCTCCGCATAGCGGGGCCCGTAGTGCACCAAATCCACCTGAAGCCAAAGTAGCCCGGATGAGCACCGAGCCCCAAACACAACGCCTCCACCAAAGTGCTGGGCTGGAAGCAGCTTGACATGCGTCAATAGCCCCAGCCAAAACAAGCTGAGAACGGGAAGCTTCTCGAACCCAAAGTGGTGAAGGCATATGAATCTCAAAGGGTTGGAACCTTCACATGCGGCTCTCCAACCGCTTCTCACCCTCACTTGGGCGTTTGTCAACCCAAGGGTGGTTGTCCCTTCGGTTTCCCTAATCTAAAGGTGGGAAACAAAAGTAAAGTCAAAAAGCAGAAACAAGCAAAGACAAAAAAAAGCAAGGTGGAAAAACCGCCTGAATGCGCAAAAAGCAGACACTCTGCTTGCGCCGAGGGGCTGTCAACTTCAGGCCCTGCTTCCTCTGAATTTCCTCCAGGGACCGGCCAAAGAGGTACAGCTGCCAGGGCAGCGCACAAAGCTGCAGGAGGAACCTCGCTGCAAAGTTCGATATGGCTTCCTCGGTTCGAAGTTGTTTCCAATTCTTGTTTGGCTGTGGGTCAAAAATAGGGTAACCCCCAAATGGAACCCTAGTAAGCGGAAACATGGACCAAAACCTGCGGTCCCCGGGTGGTTTAATTTTGACCCACACCCAAGTTGTTTCCAATTCCTGTTTCATTCCTGGTGATGTTGTTCCCTGGGGAAACAAACTTCTTCAGATGGTTCCCTGAGAAAACAAAGGGTTTTGAACCATCACTGCTCGTTTCCTAGGGGATTCCTCGCTTTCTAGGCAGGGTACCTGGTATGTTGCTGAGCCTGGCTATAATCCACCGAAGGAGACTTACTACCCACGGTAAGTCGGTGGTAACCAGAGTTATTACCCACTTACTAACTAGCCTGCCCCTTTAAGCTAGGTTAAACTTGCGGCCAAAGAAAGCAGCATTGGTTGGGGTGGACCCTTCCAAGAGAATCAACACGTGCAAATGTCAACGGAGTGTTGAACATGGTTGCAATGGGATGGCCAACGTTCGTGCGAAACATGACCTGTTGTGATCAAAAGGATAGCGGCACATGCTCGAGCCATTCGAGAATCCAAGGCTTCTAAGCCAAGCCGGGTGCAGTTGTCGTTCCTGATGCCCTATCTCAGCCATCCTGATAAACAACATTGGTCTTTCTGCTACCCTTCCTGCCACAAACATGGCACCTGTGACTCTCTGTCTCCTGCTTGCATTTCACTCGGGCTTGCCTCCCAAAAAATAGTGGGCGTTCCCCTGGCTCCAAGCTATTCGCTGCCCTTGGACCCTTGGACGCATGTTTTCCCGCTAACTTAACCTGCAACGCCTAGCACGAGATATATAAAATATAAACATATCTATATATATATGTATGTATACATATATTTATTAATATATACGCACATCATATGTAGGAACTTTGTTTCGGAGAACTGCGTTGCTTGCATGGTACCAATTTCACACCTTCAGGGCAACTTCCGAGGCGCTCGCTCAGCTTGTAAGGCCTCCCTTGGCCGAGCTGGGCGACGCAGGTCTCAAAGAGGGGTACGTAGCCACAGTCAAGCTCCTGTGGAAAGCGCGTTCCAACCAAGCCAAGTGCATCTCCAACCTCTTGATATGGAGAGCTTTCTGGCGAAAGAGTCTGAAATTCTGAAAACATCAGGCAAATATCCATCTGCTTGTGTTTTCTGACTTGAGAAACCTTCAGTCATGCACAGCCCAAAAGCAAGCATATCCAAAGGCCTTTTTTAGTTACTCCTGTCAAATTGAATTGTTCAATCACTCACCCTCAAGAAGGAAACTCAGCAACCAAAAGGTGATGAACTCCACCAGCGAAAAGGGAAAATTTGGGGGACCCTAAATGAAGAACCCTCGTTCTTCTCTCCTTCGCAGCTTTTGCCGCGCGGCGCGCCATCGCAGCACCCAGGCGGCCCTCGAAGGAGGACACGTCCTCCCCGAGCCTCGCGTGCTCCATCCCGGTCGCGGGAGGGGGAGAGGCCTGGTGCTCACCATTTGGGTGACACAAAAGGTTACCCTCCGGTCCACTGACATGGAACCAAAAAAGCCCTTTGAAGGAAAACTGTCTTCCAGTGGTTTTAAAGTTCTTGGTGTGGTAGCTCACAACTTGATTCTTCGCAGCCCTCGCCGAAAAATAAACAGGACCCCCTTCCCCAAAAAAACAAAAAACAAAAAAACATGGAACTCCAAAAGCCATTTGTAGAGGAATCTCCTAAGGGGAAAGCCAGTTCCATAGTGAAGCTGAGGGTTTTGGAAGGCGCTCCTTTGGGGGCGATCATAGAATTTGTCCCTCCCCGCACCCCCCCCCATTACACAAAAACATGTTTTTGTCTTTCACAAAGGGGATGTATTTTTTGGGGGGGCGGGTCCCCTAAGAAAAATGTGATTGTCAGAATGGGGGCACTTGAAGGCTTGTGACGAAGCTGGTCAAGGCCATGTAATCCGAAAGGGTCCCAACAGGAATCACATCCTGTGAATGCACCTTTGGGCCGCGTTTTGGGGTGGTATCGAACACAGGCATTGCGTATTCTGGCCCCATCACCCTTCGACCTAGTGTAGGCATATGTACCTCAGCGGGGCGGGAGAAACCGCATCGAGACAAGCTTGCATGTCGCACGCAACCACGTTTGCTTCGCGGGATTGAGACATGATGTCGGCTCTCTGTTGGCACGCATCTGCTCTCAGCCTGGGTCTGCTTGCTGAAGTAGACGGAAGTCCACTGCAAAGCCAACAACAAGGGCACCAATCTCGCTTTGGTTTGGCTGTACTCAAAAGAGCAAGAAACCCCAAACGTTTCCAATCCTTGGTTTCCGCAGGGCAAGCATGAGTTGTCCGATGCTTCAGGTAAATGCAATTGCAGCCGGCAAGTCCATGCAACCCTCGATCCTACCAAACAAACCTACTCTACGTGCATGACACCATGCCACCATGCCAGTGAAGGCTTGGAGCCTGTTTTATTGACTCCCCCCTCGCGGTGCCCACGGTGGCCTGAAGAACGAGCGCTGAGGCAGTTCTCAGCTCAGAAGGAATTTCTAATAAAGAAGGATATTTGAATTTTGTATAGCAAACTTTTCGTGAACGCACACTAGGTTTTGATTTTGAACCTCTTCGAGCTCCTTGGGTAGATCTGTTCGCATCCCGAGAAGTCTCAGGGCGTGGTCCCACTTGTGTGTGGGGGGGTGAAGATGTCTGCTGCTTGGAAGTCAGTTGCAGCTGCTCTGCAAGGTGCAAGGGACGCAAAGTTCACCCTATGCGTCCTGGATGGGGCGCTAGCAGGCTCCTGAACAAAGTCCTCACTTCCACCACGACTTTGGCTGCGCTTAGCTCTTGCAGTGGGCTTAGGCTGGCAAGCCACAGGCAGTAGTCGAACTGCTGCCATGTGAGCGGGGTCTAGTTGCCAAGGAGCGTTTCGTGGCCCAATTCGCGGGCATTCTGGGATAGACCAAAATTATGCGGAGTCTGTTCCATATGCAGTCAACCTGAAATAAACAATCACTTGGAAGCAGAAGATAGCCGCAGCCACATTAGTCGGCAAAAAGGAGTCTGATTCTATGGGCGCACGCGGCGGCACTGGTGGAGGCGTAGGTGCAGTGCTGGGCCTGCTCCCTGTCCGGCCGCGCTAATGTTCAAATACGATTTAAACAATGCACGCGGGATAAAAACAAATGAAGGGCCCACAAATAGTAATAAATGCACCTGGATGAAAGACAAGCACCCGCCACCCGCGGTAAAAAAAAAAGAAAACAAAGATATCGGATTTGAGGAGCAGGCGCCCAAATCTAACAACACAGCATGAAGCATTGCCAGCCTCACCTAGGCTGTCTGACTACTTGACTAGCTAAGAGGCAATTGCACTGGGCAGGTTGTATTTTTCAGGGGGCCAGGCAGCAAGACTTTATTTCGGGGGCCCCTGAAATTATGCCAAGTTGGGGGCTGAAGTACTATCCGCTTTGTGGGTTTGATTGTGGGCAGGTTTTAAACAAGAGACATGTAAGAAAACATGGTTTCAGTAAAGCTGACAATTTGGTATTTAAGGAACAAAAAACTGTCAGCTTTACCAGACCCATGTTTTCTTACATGTCTCTTGCTGAAAACATGCCCACAATCAAACCCATAAAAGGGGTAGGGGGACGCAAGTAGTACTTCAGCCCAACTTGACATTATTTCACGGGCCTTTGAAATAAAGTCTTGTTGCCTGGCCCCCCCCAAGAAAAACAAAAAGAAGCTCCAGCAATACTAAATCAAATGGAAACTCAAGTCTGCCAACACTAAATCAAATGGGAACTCATTTCCAAGTTTCAAAAGGAAGCTCCAGCAATACTAAATCACATGGAAACTCAAGACTCAACTACTCTACAGGCATGACACTTTACCATACCAGTGGGGGCTTAGGGGTCTTGTTTTATAGACTGCTTTAGGTGCAACGAGCAACTCCCCTGCAATTCAACATGCGACCTGAAACATCACACGCTTTTTTAGGGGGAATCTCCCGGGTGGCTCACCCTCGGCCGAGCAGCGGCGGAGGTGACACCAAGACCACCTTCTCCGGCAGAAGTCTTTGCACGGCCTCCCGCAGCCTCGCGGGGAAGCGCACGTTAACCCTGGATTGAAGTAGCCGTTCGTGTACTTAAAGGGGCGATCGGTTCGGTACGTCAGGTAAGCGGGTAAGTCTAAGGGGTTGCCAGACGTACCGGGTCGCCCCTTTAAGTAGGAAGGTGAAGCAAAAAAACCCTTGCAGGAGTCCCCCCTGTTTTTGCGACCAGGATTTCATCAATTCTAGGTTCCCATGCCCAGCAGTAATTCACCAATCGGCTCACTCTACTGATTTACTGGATTAGAGCTCCATTCCAGCCTGGCAGGGCCATGCAAAACAAGCCTTAGGTCTTGTTTAAGAAACTGGGTGCCTAGCGCCTCAAATTCTGACACCGACCGATTTGAGGCCTTCCATCATTAGCTGCCTACAGTGACATTCAGTTGCAGCTTACAAGACATGGTGCACAATCTCCTGTTTCCAGGATTTGCTGCTTGGCATGGGGTAGCAAAGGAAAGCCATTCCTCTTGAGGGCCCATACTGTGTAAATGACTTGGGACTTATGGGATCAAGGGGGTATATTGAGCATGTTTTCGCATGATGACTTGGGAGTAATTCACCCAGTCATCTGCACCCAGTATAATTCACCCACTTGCTTGGATCCCCTTCGACAAGCGGGTTGGCCAAGAAATACAGATCGAGATACACGCAAGCAAGCTTCGTGGCACTGGAACGACACAAGAAATAAGCTTTAAGCGGAGGGTTGCAGTCCAAACGAAAGATGCGCAAGCCAAGGGGTGCAACCGAGGAGAATTTGCTTTTGAGCCTCCAGCCCGAGTTCGGTGACACAAATCCCCTCGTGGAGGATACGGAAGCAAGGATCATTGGTAGGGTATGACCCCCTGAGAGCTCAGACTTCGCTGCATAGCCCTCATGGAAAACACGCTATGCACGAGCACTCGGTCTCAGTACTCGATCTCACACCGTGGTCTCAGGGGCCGCGTAAGCCTTTGTAGGAGAATGCTCCGCGGCGCTGACACCAGCAGTTGACATGGCGTACGCTTTGGGCGGGGAGTGGGACTTCATGTCGATGCCCATTGCCTCGGTGTCTTCGTCGATGCGCAGCATGCCAGTGAGCTTCAGGAGGAAGAAGGCGATGCCGGAGAGCGAGCCAGCCCAGACGATAACCATCAGGACCAGGATGATGTTTGCCCCCACGGCGCTGCCGCCGATATTGGGTCGGCAGGTGCCGTCGGGGTTTGCCATGCAATCCCAGCCGCCCCAGCCGTGGTAGTAGTTGATGCCTGAGCCCCAGTCGAAAAGACTTGCCGCCAGCACGCCCCAAATGCCACAAAAGCCGTGCACTGGGACTGCATCCACGGGATCGTCAATCTTCAGCTTCTGGAGGAGCATGGAAGAGCCTTGGTAGACAAGCGCGCCAATGAAGCCCGTGGCAACAGCACAGCCCGACTCCATGTTGCCGCAGCCAGCGGTGATTGAGACGAGGCCAGCCAAAATGCCGTTGCAAAGGCCCCCAACATCATACTTGCCGAAGATGGCGTACCTGGCGAGGAAGACCATGATCCCCCCCGTGGCCGCGGAGAGGGTGGTGTTCATCGCCACTTGCGCCGCCAGGGCACCCATGTTGCCGCTGCTCATGCTCAGCGTGGAGCCCGGGTTGAAGCCATACCAGCCGAACCACAGGGCAAAGGTGCCCAAGACAACTAGGGGCAGGTTGTGAGACTCGAACTCCTCGTGGCGCCCCCCCTTTCTCTCTACATGTTGTTATAGAGTTTACACCGTTTATTTAGTTTAACCCGCTCTGGGCTTCGTTTGCTAGAGGAATGTTCAAATAAAATGCTCAACCTCCTGGCCTCCCTTTAAAGGGACTGAGGGGCTGACCAACCCTGCTCCTCTGGGTTCACGAAGCGTCCTTTACGCGGGCCCAGAACCACCGTGCCCGCCAGCGCACTGACACCCCCAGTGAGGTGTACAATGCCGCTGCCTGCAAAGTCCATGTAGCCCACATCGAAGATACTATTCAGCCAGCCGCCCCCCCAGGACCAGGCCACAATCACGGGGTAGATGAAGGTGGTCATGCAGAAGGCGTAGGCGGCATAGGTGGGGCTCTTCACACGCTCTGCCACCCCTCCGCTCACGATGGTCGCCCCTGCCGTGCAAAAGGCCCACTGGAAGAACCAGCTCAGCATGGTGCTCTGGCAGCCGTCGGAGTTGCAGGTCACCGGGGTGATAACTCCTGTGGTAGCATCCTGCGTGTAGAAGTCCAGGCCGAAGAAGCCGCTGGCGCCAATGAAGCCGTTTGTCTTAGCCTCTGCCCCGTAGGCGAAGGCCCAACCGAGGCTCCACCAGCCCAGGGTGCCGACGCAAACGTTCACCAGATTCTTCATGAGGACGTTGGATGCATTTTTGGCACGGCAACTGCCGGTCTCCAGCATCGCAAAGCCGGCGTGCATAAACATGACCAGGGCTCCGCAAAGACAAAGCCATGCCGAGTCAATGGCGCCGGTGAAGCTGTAGTCTGTGGCCTGCAGGCTTGCAATCATATTGTTGTAGTAGGTCTCGTTCACAGAGACTTGCAGGCGTCGGGAGTGGTCCATGTATTCTTCGAGGGCCGCCTTGCGTACGTCTTGTTGATGGTACCCTTTCAAGCAGGTTCGAAAATTGGAGACCAAGAGAAAAAACACCCCGCACGCGGCAAAATAAACCGCAACAAGCAAGAAAGCATCTTCGTGCCCATGTCTCCTTCTGGTCCAGGATGGTTTGCTGCTGCTCCGCCACGGCCTGCTGCAGCATGGTCAGCTCCTGCATGAGCTCCACCTCGGAAGGCGCGCCATGCACCACGGCGGCCAAGGCCAGCAGCTTCAGCATCGCGGACTCGCCGACTCGTCGAGGCAGAAGCTCCGGCCGGTTTCTTCGCACTTGAGCCGAGGGTTTCGACGCCTGGGGTCGGTCATTTTAAGCTCGGCAGTCGCAACTCGCACTCGACTTGGCTGAGGGCTCATGGTCCTTGAGCTCATTCTTACCAGTTGGCCATGTTTGTCAAAGCCCCCAGAACTGTCAATTTTGGCGCTCAAACCATCTCCGCAGAGGTTTGCAAGCAGACAAAACCGCAAAAAAAAACGCGACAGGACCAGGGACCTCAGGGCGACTCACTCGCAGGTCACTGCCTCTGGGCGTAGCTCTCCAACCACTGCTCCTCTGGGCTCCGGAGAAAGGAAGGCGTCGCGCTGTAGCGGATCAAATCGTTGGAGCCCAGCTGCAGGACGATGCCGTGGCTCCTTGGGAATCCGAGTATTGTCAAAAGCGGACAGCGGCGGGTCAAGCCAAGGCCCAAGGATTCGGGTTCTGCTTTTCCTCCCTAGCTGCAAGCAAATATGGAGGCGAGGATTCCGGAGGCCCTTTTTTCAGGGGTTCCCATGGTGTGGATACCGCCCAGGCTTTTTTTTGCTTTCTTCTGTGGGGTAAGGTGTCAGAAGTCCCGTGACCGAAAGGGACGTACTTTGATCCAGTTTGAACTTCAAGAGCCCCAAGAGTTGTGCTTGGAGAGGGAAGCAAGTCAGAAACAGGTCACCTTGGTCACCAGGTTGAACCCCGAGTCCACGACTCACGTCTAAAACCATCATCATTTTAGTCGCGGTGTTCCCAGCGTTGACCCAGTCACTTGCCCGGTAATTATAATTATATTCATGTTTGAAAGGGGACGAGTACGACTGGACAGCTGGGACTCAGGACGTCCATAACAAGCTTGTCAAAATGCCACACAATTAAACTCCAAAGGAGCAGGCTCCGGCCCCGAATCCACCCGCTTCAAGGGCCGAAGAGCGGTGTAAAGGCCTTGGCTTCCGACAGCAGCTCGGGGGTGAGGTCACTGAGCGCGCGGAAGTTCAGGCCCATGTTCACCAAGTGAGCAGGGGCCTGCTTCGTCAACCCGCCCTTCTTCGAACCCTCCCCACGCAACATGGCAGCAAAAGCGAACACACAAGATTCAAGCTGTATAGTCGAACATGCATTGCCAGCTGCCAATGGGATTGAAGGTCTTTTCGCCAGAGCCCTGGAAATTCATGGCAAAGACTGAACCACGGCTGCTGGGAGGCTTGCTGGGCGCATGAATCAAGAGGAACTCGCTCAGCCAAAGCAGCAAACAATATGTCCCGCAAGCCATCCCGCCCCGTCATTTCTTCAAGCGAACGTCACAAAAGGTGATGAGTTGGACACGTGCTCGGCCCCAAATTGCCATGACGGTCTGGTGTTGGTAGGTTGGTCCACACTGGCCGTACTCTAGCCGCCTGCAGTCAGTCCGATCTTGTGTCGCGAATCTGTTTCTGAGCCCCGAGCAACTGAAGCCAAGGAGAAGGCGCAATCTTGGGGACATGTTGGCTTTCGCAGAATCCTCAAAGGGATCAAAAGGGTCCCTTGAAAAGGAGATGCTTGTGGCGTGCACCTGTGGGTTTATGTCACTGGGCCAGCCTGCCGGCGTCTGCAGCGTTCGGCTAACACCTCAAGGACGTTGGCCGACACCTGAAGTGGGCAAAACGTGTCCAATGCCTCTGCAAATTCCAATCTCAATAGCGGCACCAGGATGGATATGTAGCTCACTTCTCCTGTGGGCACTCACGCCAAGAGCAAAGCCATACAATACCAGATTCGTCCCTGATTGATGCTCACTACCCCGATTTGCCACTTGCACCTTTTCCATCGTTTTCCAAGCGTCCAGTCTTCGCGCCTACTCAAGCTTGGAAGGTGGATTGATTTCGCCGCACTTAGGCTCAATCTACTTGCAAGGCCATAAGCGCAGGGTAGGAGCAGTGTCTTGGGGGGCAGGGTGTCATGTTACACAATCGCGGGAATGCGAAGCTAGCGACAGGACGCACAGATTCAAGCGAATGGCTTCCATTGCAAATGCATCTTTTGAGGGGACCTTGTTTCAGTTGGCTCAGGATAGAAGGACCTGTTCTGCATTTGGGGGTGCATCCCAATTGCCCGGCGCCGGAAAAATGGAGGGACCTTTACTTTGGGATTGATCATTTGGGGCTGAACAAAGCGCCGCACAAAAGGTGATGGGGGGAGAAGGTCAAAGAACCAAAGGCGGCGAAAAAGGAGATGACGCCCACATCCGAGGCGCCGTCCCCTGCGTGAGGCTGTCCCCAAGAAAGACCGCCGTCGCACCTTCCTGGAAGAGGACTCCCCTTTTTGTCCCATGCACTGAAAGGAAACTCACTTGACATGGATCCTTAAAGTCTTCAGGCAGTACTGTAGGGAACCCTAAGAAAGAAAAGCTCTTTTCAATGGGGAACCCATTCAAATCATGCTGGAACAGGGCGCCACTGCGCAACTGGAAAGCCGACCTCGGCTCGGATCCCCGTCCTGCGCCAACTCCTTCGGCTTCGGCGTGAGGCGCGCGCAGGCGGCGATGGCCGCACCTGGAGCCACCAGAAGGGCGGTGGGCAACGCGATCTTCACGATGCTCATCTGGCTGCGGCTCAAAAAGGTGGTACCAAAATGGAACGTTGGTAAATGGAACCAAAGCCTAAATTTGAGCCATACCCATCTGGGAATTTCTCCAAATAGGAATCGCCCCGCCAAAATGGCAATGGTTTCCATTTGGCTTCCTTTTTTAATACGCAACCGAAGGGGTAGCTGAAAGGGGGTTCACAAATTTGAGAAACCCTGCGACGGTTGGTTGCGGCTGGTTCTACTAAGGGGTGCTGCTGTCAGCAAACAGAAAACCAGTGGTTGGCTTATTTGGCAGCGTGGTGGCAAACCGTGTCGCATTACGCTGTTACGCTGATACGCTGATACGCTGGTCACTGTCGCTCTACGCTGTTACGCTGTTACGCTGTTACGCTGGTACACGTCAGATGCACTGGCTACGCTGATTACGCTGGTTACGCTGATTACGCTGGTTTGCGCTGATTACGCTGATTACGCTGGTTTACGCTGATTACGCTGGTTTACGCTGGTTTGCGCTGGTTTGCGCTGATTACGCTGATCTACGCTGATTACGCTGGTTTACGCTGGCTACGCTGGTTGCGCTGTTGACGCTGGCTAGGCTGGCTACGCCGACCGTGCCGGCCGCACTGGTTGTGCCGGCTGGGAGCCAATTTCAGTTTGCGGTTGGGACCAAGGAATCTTCAGGAATCTTAAGGGCCTAGCCAAAGCAGCGGTTGCGCGCGTCGCAAAGTTGGGACCTACCAACAAACATGTTTTTTCGTAGGTCTCACATTTTCACATTTTCAAGAACTTGGTCTTAGCGCCTTTTGCCGGCCTATATTCCAAAGAACCCTCCGCAAACTTGGAGCTGCACCAGCCATGTCAGAACTACTTGGTACTTTGGTGAGCATGACCATAACCATCCCCAGATCCTCGGACACAGGCCCGGCCGGAATCACCCATCGTACCCCTGCAACACAACCGGTTACTTTTTCTGCGCCGCCGTCGCCAAAGACTCAGCCGCAGTGAAGAGCTGATTCGCCTTTTAGGCGTGTCTTTCTCTTAGGGGACCTCCCGAAATGACATGGGGTTTCCTTTCGGCTTCCCTTTAAAGCAACAGAAAGGGTGTGGGGTCCTCAACTATGAGAAGCTCCCCGCCAGACGCCTGGCCCGGGCGGGAAGTGAAGAGTCGTGTGTACTGCAGCTTCACTGAACGACATGAGTGGTGGTTTTAACTCCTTTTAAATTTGAATTGATGTATCAAACCCTTCCGGTGTGAAGGATGCCTTCCGCAAGCATGCTTCTCTACAAGTTTAAATACAAGTTTATATATATAAGTGCTGCCTAATTCGTGTGCATGGTTTGCTAGCAAACGTACTTGGCAACAGCCACCCAAACGAAATCAAACTGCCATGCGCAAAGCCACAACGTCCCTTATGCAACCTTCCGCGGGGAAAAAACCTTCCGCAAACCTTCTGCGAACCTTCCAAGGCTGCAGTGCGGCGTGCGGCGCTACCCTTTTTTCGTTCATACGTCAACATCTAGACATGTTTGCTTGAACGGAAAAACCGCCACTCAAATAGGTATGTGTCAAAGCAGGGGGACCCCAAAAAATGAGCTTTTCTTTCTGGTCTCTCTCTAACAACTTAAAAGGGGCACCCTCCAAAAAACACAAGCTCATGCGCACCTAGCTTTTTTTTGCCGCAACACACATTGTCACATTCCGCCACGCGCAAGCGTCATTCTCCACCCTCAGACTAGATGGGTTCTGACAAACGGGTTCCTTTCGGATGCCACACAAATGATTTATCCTTTTGGCTTGCTGACGAGAACCTGTTGAACAAATGGCTGCGAGGATCAGAGCCATCAAGGCCCCCGAAGTCTTCGAAAGTCTTCCAAGTCACCATCCGCGATGCCTCCTGAAGCCTGACCTGTTCCGAAGGACGTGTGAAGCGGTCCCAGGTCTCCCCAAAACCCTTGAAGGGTCTCCTGACAAGGTAGTGGCTCCCAAGGTGGAATGATCAAGCCTGCTCTCCGGCAGGTTGCCGAGCCGCGGTACCTATCCGTGGCGCACCAAGCGCAGCGAAACTTAGACCCATGCTGTCAAATTGGTCTGGCCAAAGGGGGTCCACAAGAACTGGCCTCAGTGGGGAGCGCATTCTTGCTCATTGGAAGGAATATCGCACCCTTCGTGCACTTCACACACACTCCACGCTCTGCAGAACGGCGCGCTGCCATCTTTTTCAGTCATAGCTTTGCCTCCTCGCGCAGCTTACCAAGCTGAGTTGCCACCAGCAGCCACGCGTGCCATCATCTTGGACACGGCTTGAAAGCGCTGCAAAGGGGCGGCGCCCGACTGCGCTGGCCAAGCGATATCTTGCTCGACGCGAGACCAGGCCGTAGCATACATTTTCAAAAAATCCTTCACGCTGCTAGCCCCGGCTTCGGTCGCAGAAGCTGCAGGAGCCCAGTCATCGTCTTCCAAAGGGTCCTGGCTAAGAAAGCAAAGTGTCCATGGGAAGTGTCAGGACACTTTCTTTTGGACTCAGTAGCTGAGCAGCGAGAAACAGTTTCAGTGTTCCAAGACTGTGAGAGGTCAAGAGGTTCCAAACAGCCGTTAGGCAAACGTAGCAGAACCCCGCCGGTCCTGGCCCGATGCCTCGACGGTCTCCTGGCTCTGCATGAGCTTTTCGTCGGGCAGGATCTCAGGGCTGAAGCCCTCCAGGCTACAAAGACAGCTGCTTGCCAGGCGGAGCGCAATCAGGACACAAAGGGCCAGCTCCCACGTTTTTTCGCGGACGACAACGCCCTGACAGATCTGTGTTTGCTGGGACTCCACGCAGCCGCCCCCCAGGTAGAGATAGAGGCGCTTGGCCTTTCCCCCGCGCAAGCTGTTGTTAATCAGCGCGCATGCAATCCGATCGCCCGCAATGTTATTTGGACCCTAAAACAAGTAGAACCCTCTCTAAGGCTATTGTGGCTCTATAAATAAGAGCAACAAAAATGGGTGTGTTTTCAGGCTACTCTTTTCATTTTGGTTTGAAGGGAAACCCAAGAGGCACTTTAGTTGGGTGCACCCCATTTGTCTGCGAGAGGCTTAGTTGAATCGACACTTTGGAGGCCGAGCCTTCCTCTTTAGTACCCGCTCTGCACTCAAAGACTCAGCTAACACCCCAAGAGGCTGGGTCACTCACTTTTTGTGAAGAACATTCACTTGGACGACTTTTTGCCTCGCATTGTTGTGCGGACAAGCCTGTCAAGGGGTCTTAGAGTTCTGCTCCGCTCTTGAAGTGATGGAACCGGAAAGACAGCTTGTTCTGGGAGGGACCTTTGGGTCTCACATTGCATAGCTTTTTTGCGCGGTAGGTCATGACTGTGGGTGAGCAGGCCACCATCCTAGAACACCAAAGTACGAAGCCAAAAATGCTCCATGGCCCACTTCCTGGGCGGATTGACCCACTTAATTATTACCGACCCCTAGGATGGCCAACCCCAAAAGTACAAAATCTCCAGGTGAGATGGTAACTTCGCATCGGGCGGCCGGGTCTTCCAAGGGGTGGACCCCGCTGTCCAGCGCGCAGTCCAGGCCCGTCCACAGCGCCACCACCGAGCCCCAAACGCCCAGCAGCTGGCTCCGCCACTCGCTCTTCCGCTCCGCGCCCGGCACCGGCTCCGCACACCTCACGCGGAAAGAAACACGGATTTGGGTCAAAGGGCAACCACTGCGGGCGGCTTCCTTTTTGGTGTCCCTTTAACCCAACCCCAGGGGGGGGGGACGGAACAAACTTTCTTAAACGACCAAAACACCGTTTGCCAAAAAACTGCTCTTTCACACAAAGTCACCTTGTTGGCCGTCCAATGGTCGGGAACAGTTCCCTTTTGGACGGGTCAAATTATTGTTTGGATTTGGCAAGCAACTGCCTGACATGCTCAACTTGCAAGGCGATACAAACATGTGCCTCCCAATAAGCCTCAGGTCCCAGGCAGCAAACAAAAACAGTCTTCTTTGAGGCTCGAGATAAATATATCGTGTGTTTCGTAAGGGAAAGCCAGGGACCGCTCATCTTGGATGAGTAAAAAATGAGCCATAGCCAAGAAGGCTAAAAAAATGAGCTTTCCTAGGGGAGGGTAAAACCTTGAAGGGTACAGGCGGCACCTTCTGCGAGCTTAGCTTTGGGAAAAAAGTGTCGCGTACTTCTGCGAACCCATTTTGGGTAGTGCCAACGACTACGGGAGAGGGTTCTGAGAAGGGAGGGAGGGTTCTGCGAAAAGGCGAGGGTTCGACGCAGTTCTGTGGACTGACGCCTTTTGCTCTCCTAAGCGTTGCGCTCCTGCATGTTCCCTTTTTCTTCAGCGAGCCTGACAGGGAGACTGACATGATGGTCCAATGATGGTTTCACTTGTTACAAACTACTGTGGATGGACGAAATCCTGCACTACCTAAGAAGCCAAGGTTGAAATTCGTTGGTATTCACAGGGAATCATCATTCCAGGGATTCTGAACGGTGGTGCGAAATGAATGTCGCAAAATGTCGCAACCATCCACAGTACTTCCACTTGCTTAAGCCTTAAGCCCGCTGGAAAGTATACACTCAATTCCAGTCGTGATAGATTCCCTTTGACACCAGGGGCAAAACGACAAATATCCTTAAGCAAATGGAAGAGATTCTGTGCCAAAGCCCAGCGGCTTTGCCAGGCACCGGCGCGTGACCGTGGGTCGTTTTTGCGTTTGTGGCCAGCCAACAAACGCCGGTGCCACCACGGCAAGCACCAGCCAGCGAGCGGCGCGTCGCCCCATGGGGACGCAATCAGTCGTCAAGTTGTCTGGTGGGCTGAAACCCCCGTGTGTAGTGTTTAGGGGTCATCTATCCTCGGTGATTCAAAAAAGTTTGAACGTCCTTTCTTGAGGTCTTGAAGTCGAGATCTGCCTTCGTGGGGTGGTGCTTGAAGGCTTAAAGGGGACGAACCCTGAAGCACACCATGATGAAACATAGGCGCAGGGACTTGGAGAAGTCAAAGGAAGGCCTTCCAGGTGGTTGCACTTCAAAAAACATGGGGCTTGATACCATGATTTTTGACATGATGGTCACGGCCAGCCAAGGCAACGCATGTTTTTGTTGAGGGCTTGCAATTCCTAGCGAGCTGCATCATCTCATCTACTGCACAATGCTCGAGCCACACCGTGATGCACACAACTCCCCCTTAACTCAAAAGGGGAAAGCAGGTGCAGGAATGCAATTCAAGATGCCCAAGCCGGGTGGTAAAAAGGATGTCTGACTGATGTCCACTTTCTTGTAGCTTCGCACCCTTTCAGCGGATTTCATAGCCTGACCCCCCGCTTCTCACTGGGCCCAGGGCCGGTCGCCAAACGCCCACCTTCTCACAGGCACTCACAGCGGCCTTGGCCCAAATCAAAAACACAAACACACACACACACACACACATGCGCACACACACACACACCAGGTAGGGAAAAGCCACTTGAAACGCCCCACAACGAGGGAACCCCGCCCCCCCTTCTGTGTGCCGGGGCCCGGCATTGCCCAAGCAAGCGGAACGCAACGTCGGTGCCCGTAGGGACCGCTCCAAATGTTGTGAAGGAACACAGGGCCAACACCTACGGTCCACTTTGTGATGCTAAACCTGGATCAAGGTCCCTGAGATCGATTTGGAGCAAAGAATCTGACAGCGTACCTGGGCTTCCAGTAAGCGCCCAAGGCAAGAGAAAGCAGTGCTTCAGTGCTTCAGATTCCAGAGGGAAATGCACAAGACCTCATGTAACCTCTACGAACTGTGGGGCCAACAGCATTGACAATACAATGGCGCATATCTGAAACCACTCGCAAAGCAAAGCCCTCCGGTGGCTTTTGCTCTGTTCACGCGGCCAATGGTCACTGTGTTGGGCATGTTCCCTTGGCCCATGGTGTAAGTGCACAAAATGAAGCCGGGTAAAGCTGAAACCGCGTAACTCTCTCTGCGGCTTGTTTTGCTTGGTTGAGTTGCCCTGTAACTCTGGTCAAAACACGTCGTGACCCCTTTTTGGCGCTGACCACCATGGATTGGCCAAACAAAGTCACTTTTTGTCCAACACTGAAATGGTGTTCCCAACTGGGTTGCAGTTTCCCCCTGGGAGATTTTTTTTTTTGTGCAGTTTCATGGAAAAGCCATGTCTTTCCAAAAAGGTCCAACCTAAGATCACGCCAAACACCTGTCATACCAACATCAAGTCCAGGTGGTACGCGAGTGATGCTCTGCTGGAACTCTAGCAGAGCGGCGCTGCAGCACACCTCGTTGGGCAGGATCTTTGCCTGAAGAAACCCGGATCCGCTCTCGTTTTTGCCAGACATGCGCTTAGTTAGGGAATTGGAAGAGTGGGGGGGTGTGGAAGGGAGGCCAGAGAAACCAGGATGACATGAGAACGCTGCGTCCTGACAACTAAGAGACAAGTCACAGGCCCAAAGGAGACAAAAATCAGCCTGAAGATGCCTGAAGGCTCCCCAAAAGGCGATTCAATTGGCAAAAAGCAAAATGCCAAGTCCTGCCAGGCTTTTCATTTCGACCTTCCAAGAAAATGGAGTGACCACCTCTCTGAGGGGTTCCATGAGAAGAGCATCAACAGGTAAACTCACTTCCCTGCGTAGGTTGGCCAAAAACACCCAATTTCTTCAAACACTTTTTCCTGCCCACCAGACTCTTTCCAAAAGTGACTAAAGTGCAGGGACTCAGGCACGAAAATGATTGACCTCTTTGGTTTCCCACCCTCAAAAGGGAGACACCCAACCCCCTGAGGCTGGCATTCCGCTCGCCTGCCGCATCACCTTCAGCAGCCCCAGTGCGCGGAAGGGTTGGCCGCAGCGCTCACAGGAGCTGAAGCGCGGAGGCGGGGTGAGATCGGCCTCCAAGTTTATCTCTGGGTGTCTCAAGATGGGGGATACTACAAGAAGCCTGGCTGAACTTTATGCCTGAAAACGACCCAGTTGGATAATCTCTATACCCGACTGACAGAAGAGTTGGATTTTCCCTATGCCTGAGAACGACCCACCTTCCAAAAAAGGTTGGAATTGTTCTATACCTGGACACGACCCCCGTATAAAAAAAGGCTAGATTTCCTCTATACCTGAAAGCGACCAACGTTGTCCTCTATGCCTGACACCGACCCACCAAACATGTGTGGATTTCCTCCATATACCCGAAAAACAAAGGTAGGACTTCCTCTATACTTGAAAACGACCCAACTGCCCAAAGGTTGGAAGTGTTGTCTGTCAAAACTTGGAAACGACCCACGTATAAAACAGGTTGGCTTTCCTCTACACCTGACGGGTGCCATAGACGACAACGTTCTTTGGGGCCCTCTCCAATTCTCGGGATCGGGAGAGATGGTGCGGCACGATCTACGGAGTCCGCCCCAAGGACGCACGGAAATTTTTGGATGTCTTTCTGACGGGTCCAGTGCCGCCTGCATCGAATCGATCGCCAACTTTCGGAGGCCACCGGATGCGCCTGATGGCTGCGCCGTAGCTGACCACCTGGGCTTAAGAGCGACACAAGCAACACCGCGAGGTGGGCAAGATTACTGTTTCAACACCTTTCCTCACGCATGGTGCTTTGCTCAATTGATGACACTGCGTTGCTCGAAATGGGGGAGGGGGTCCCATTCCAATCTGTAATCCGCAGTGGGACGAAACCACTCATTCGGCATCAAGGTTTCTTAAGGAATCATGCTGAACCTATCCAAACAACCGGCACCAAGCTGGCACAGGACAAAGGACTCTCGGGACTAAACGGCTCGCAGACTATCCCCAGCCGAAGGTTGACATGGGACGGCGAAGCTCAGAGTTCCGCCCTGAAAGTGCTGAACCCAGCTGTCCAAGTGCACTGACAAGTATGGAATCGCACAAGCTACCAGCGGGACCTCGGGGACCTCTGTTGTTATTGTCCACAGTGTTCACCCCACGCCCGCAACTGTAAATGTCTCAAAGGAGGTTTGAACTCCACACCTCTTGGCGGCCATTCCCTTGTGCAAAAACATATTTGCTAGTTGACGGATACACGGAAAACCACCTGCTTTACAAGCGCATCCTCATTGGGCTGTTTTCTGCAACAAGTTTAACCTTCAGTGCGTTTAATGAAAGCCCCTCACTAAACCCAAAACAACTAAAACCCTAAGGGAACGACTGGGAACCACCGATCCAATATCAGCTGGATTGAACTCACTTCCTCGAACTTTCTACCTACCACTAAGATGGTCCAACCCCAAAAAGTGACTAAAGTCTGAAACGGAACTCAGGGACCCAGGGAGTGAGTTGGTCCTAGTTGACTTTGACTCATGGTCCTCTTACTTGGGTGGAGATATCCAAAGAACTTATCCACAGGGGAAACCAAGCGACCCCCCCAGCAGAAGCATAGGTGTCCTTTCGGGAAAATAGACGGCCCTGGTAAATGGAAGAAAACCAACCTAAACCAGTGGAACCCATCGATTTCTATCCAACACAACCTAAAAAGGACACCTTAAACAGTGGAACCCATGTATCTCTAACCAACATAACCCCCCCAAAAAAAACACCTATGAGCAAAAGTCGGGCCATACCGGCCCGCGATTCCCCAAACAGCCGCGGGGCATCCGGCGCCGGCGTCTTCCCGAGCGCCCACAAAGCAAACGGCCAGTGCCCCCGGTTGGCCGCGATGGCGGCGTTGAAGGACACCAAAGTGGGCGAAGCCCTGAAATCGGCTGGGGTGCTGGAAAAAACACAAACTTGTTTGCTTGCTTGCTTGCTTGCTTGCTTGCTTGCTTGCTTGCTTGATTGATTGATTGATTGATTGATTGATTGATTGATTGATTGATTGATTGATTGATTGATTGATTGATTGAACTATTGCACAATTGAACGATTGCACAATTGAACGATTGAACATTTGGTTGATTTGATTGTTCTGCTTGGCTTGTTGTTTGCTTGGTTTGTTGTGTGTTTGGATGTTTGGTTGTTTTGTTGTTGTGCTTATTTGTTTGTGTGTGTTGTTTGTTTTGCTTACTTTGTGTTTTTTTGTTTGTTGTTTGTTTGCTGTGGTTGTTTATTTGTTTGGCTTGTTTGTTTGTTTGTTTGTTTTGGTTGTTGCTTTTTTTGTTGGTTTGTTTGTTTGATTGTTTGGTTCTTTGGTTGTTTGCTATGTTTCTTTGCTTTATTTGTTTTGTTTGCTGGTGTGTTGTTTGTCTGGTTGCTTGGTTGTGTGTTTGTTTTAAGTGCTTTGTTTTGTTTTGGTTTGCTTGTTTGCTTGAAGGCGCCCACAAAGGGAAGTGGTCGAAATCCGAAGGGCTAACACGTTTTGTTGGGGTCCGCCTTTTTTGTGACACCATACGCAATCCACATCCATTCCCTGGGGGTTTAATCAATCAGAAGACCAACTTGCCCAAATAAGACACAAACCAAGGAGTCAGCGCCCCCTCCGAAACCGAGACTCCCCCTCCGATTCATCGCCACAACCGGAGCGAAAAAGCGCGAAAACGAGCGCGCGCCTCTCTGCGGCCATGCAGTCCAGCAGCCTGGGCGAAGCTGAGCGTGGGGGAGGGGGGGGACCGGGACGCAATTTTCCCCGGCGCAACCCTGAGCGATTGCAGGGCGCAAAGGTGCAACCCGCAACCCTGAAGGATTGCAGGGTGCAACGGTGCAACCTCATTTGACTCACCAACCGAAGCCTGACTTACTTGGGGGAACGCCACAACAACGAGGGAAAGCCACCGCCAAAAGGACTACGGACTGACTTTAAACAACCCGCTCAAGAAGCCTCCAGCCCGCTCAGGCCAAGCATGGGCCCCTAAATTGGGGCCTGCTAAGCCGCCACATTGGCATAATTGGGGATGGGAGATGGGTAGGGGCCTCTTCATGCACAGAATTAGGAAGTATGGAAGACAGAAAAACAACTATCAGGACACAAAGGCAATTTCAATGTCTGAACTGTTCCGCGGCCAGGCTATGCATCCAACTTCCATCCTTTTGGATCTCAATGAGATTCGTTTTTACCTCAAGCCGCGGATATCCACAGGCAGCCGCACCTCCCCGCTGTTCTGTTGAATCCTTCCCTTTGCAAAAATGGCTTGGTGAACAATCCCAATTGGACTACCCCTTAAGACATATACCTGGACCTTCCAACATGTAAAATTAACGCCGTTTCCCAAAACAGCAATAATTTTCGCCGGTTGCTGAAAAAAAAACGCTCTTTCGGAGAAAAAGCGCTCGCCGTGAGTCCAGCTCGGAACCAGGCAAAAAAAAACGCCGTTTCGCCGGCAAATTACGCCGTTTTGCAATTTTGATTGATGCTAGAGTGTGCAAACACTGAAAACTGCCGGCAGGCGAAAATAATCGCCGTTGGGTCAAAAGACATAGTTTTTGACAAAACAGCAATAACTTTGCACATGTTGGAAGACCCAGGTAAGTACATATGTATATATATATATATCTATATTATGAGTCTTATGTGAGTACTTGCCACCATCTTCAGCGGGGAACCCACCAAGGTCCCCTTTCATTTGCCCGGTCAACTTGAGGGCTTCCTCTTGTTTCCCTTTAAATACAACCAATAGAGTGTCCACCATTTGGGTAAAGGGATCCTTTGGTGGACATCCTGTAAAAAAATCATGTCCACCAACCACATTGAAGCTGGTTCCCTATTGAAATTGAAAGCTTTCCCTTGGCGCAACCCACGTCCAGCTTGGCAGCTGCATGGCCAGCTTCCGGCGCGAGGCATTGCCCGCAGCAGAGAGCGCCGCATTGTAGTTCACCGCGTCCGGGCGCAGCTGAGGTGGAGGTGGGGGAGGTGGGGGAGGTGGGGGAGGTGGGGGAGGTGGGGGAGGTGGGGGAGGTGGGGGAGGTGGGGGAGGTGGGGGAGGTGGGGGAGGTGGGGAAGGTGGGGAGGTGGGGTACTCATTGGACTCACTTCCTGAGTGGATTGGCCAGAAAAAAAGTCTGAACTTGTTGTTTGCCACAAAAATTGTCATACTAGGAACTCAGGAAGAGAGTTGGTGCTGGTTGATTTTGACTCATATTGGTCGTCTCACTTGGGCGGATCGGCCAAAAGAAGCACAGACGGTCTGTTTACCACATAAATGGTAAGAGTCAAAGCTTAAACTTCTGAAAATGAAGACGTCGCTCCTAGTTTGCCTCCGGCAAAAAACATGTTGGCTCGCAAGGTGGCCCGCGAACACCAAAACAATAACACTGGCCTCTATCAAACTGGATGTTGGATTTGTCTTGTGTAAACCGGGGCCGTGATCATTGCACGCGGAGCTTCGCACAGGAGTTGAGATGAACAAATCACAAATCTACACAGGGGAAGTAGGGGAAGCCGGCTTTCCGAGTTAGACCAACTGCTGCCTCAAGCATCTGACATGGCATACTATGTTGCTTGAAGCAATCCAAGGATTTGGATGCCATGACAGGTGTGTTCACTGATTCCTTGACGTCAAGCCTCAAACCGGTCTCTCCATAGATTACTTGTTGGCGTGGCTTGAAGCTGGCACATGCCCAGCCCCGCAGCCCGACAACGCTCACAATTGGAAAACAGGCGCTCTCATGCAAACAAGGTCGTTTGAAACGAATGACGTTAGAGGTTGGAGAAAGAACACTCTTCGAAACATCATGCGATTCCCATGCCACGAAGAAGCACTTCTCGTCATTTGTCCCAAGCTTTCCTACTTTCTGTTTAAACAAAAAGCGTTCTTCAAGCCATTGGCTTCCAAGGAAACCGGCCCCAACCGCGCCATCGTGTTCACGCCTTCGCGCCGCGCATGTGCCGCAGGAGCTGCAGTGCGGGGTACCAGCGGTGCGCTTTTTCGCAGGCGCTCATGGCCTGTCGCTCGGATGGGTCTGGCTCAATGCCTCACTTCCTGAGACTGACCAAAGAAAGTAAGCAACATGTTTGTGTTGGAACTAAAATGGTAGCCCCAAAAAGTGACTAGAGTCCATGAACTCAGGAGCCAGAATAGGGGAAGTCTTGTTGGATGGGCTTTACATGGAGAAAATCCAGCAGGAAACCACGTTGGACCGACTACTGTCTTGATACTGTGTACGACGACCAGTAAACCAAAAGAACAAGGGACGCGAAAAGCAAAAAACAGCCATTTACATGGCGGACCCCCTTTTGGTGGGGATTTTTGAGGCACACCAAAAAAGGATGGTGGACCTTCTTTTCCTTCCTTTCTGAAATCCGCAAGGGTAGCACTTGGCAAAGGGCACCTTAGGTCAAGGGCACACTTGTGAACAGCCGAGCCCCAGTGGGTTTCTTCATCGGGAAAAAGGGAATCCCTGAGCACCGTGTGTCTGGGCTCTGTGTTAGTTGGAAGGGGAAGTGTTTGAAGGCCAACCCACTTTAACCATAAAAGGGGTGATCAACAGTTTGTCTGAGCCTGAAACCATTTGAATTCCATTGGTTGGAAGGCTTGCATCCAATTGACAATTTCAAAGGTGGGGATGGGTCGCCAGGAAACTATGCATGAAATTCCTTGGGTCACCTCAGATCCCCTGCCAAAGTCTAAATTTTAGTAAATGGGAAACCCCACTTTTGACCCCAAAAAACACTACGCCTAAGAGACTGGGAACCACCAGTAGGAGAAATCATCTGCCAACTGCGAAGTGGGTTTTCTCCATGGAGAGCTTCCCTAGGCCCCGGCCGCCGCGTAGGCGATGTGGTTGGGCCGCGCGGCGTCCTACGGCGATTGGACGTGTCTGAAGCTTGGAATGGCAAAACAACCACTGCTTTTTTTCGGGGGGTCATATCATACTTTGAGGCAAACCACCACTCTGGAGACCAAAATGCAAGAAAGATCCCTTAGCCTTGCATGGGGCTGTCGTTAATGCTTTATAAAGTTCACAAAATGGTCTTCCAAACATGCGTGACTGTAAAAGTGGTCGGGGGGGACAAGCCAAGGTAAACTTCAAGTTTTCCAGTAAGCAGTGGAGAAAAACTAGGATGTGTGTCAGGGTTAGAAAGGAGGGGGTCCGTCGTCGTAGTTTTCTTGTTGTGGTTCGGCAGTCCTCCGGTTGGAAAGGTTCATAAGTTTCAGGGTTGGAAAGGCTCACGGGAACATCCGCTGGGGTGACTAACAAAGCCCTAGTTTCCTTTCGTCTGAGGGCTTGAGTATGTGCCCTTGGAGATTGATTGCAAACATCAGATGGTCATGAATTTGTGCCTTGGATGGGTCTGTTTGGAGGTTGGGGTTGGGTGTTCGCTTTGCTTAAATCGAGTGGCAACACTTCAAGTTTCTACCCAGATGAAAGACGCGACCAAAAGCAACCAAGTTGCCGACACGCCACACACACACACACGAGTTTTGCCACCGCCTTGAGAACTTGTGTGCGTAGGCATTCCAGTTCAAAGCGCCGGTTGCCTTTCTACTCATCCGCTGCACTTTGTTTGTGAAAACACCAACTCTGGGCAAAGAATGCGGACATATGGTTCACGGCTGAAATCATGCCTGCGAACTCCGAGGGATTCTAGCTTGATCCGAGCAATTCTGAAGCCGCGGAAGCCATCAAGCAGTTTCCATGCGGATCCAACAGTTGAAACGGGATGCCAAGGCTCAAATGCGACAAACGCTATTCGACAAACGCATGCATGGCCTGCCATTTCGTCCGGCTTGGTGTTGCCAGCTTGAAGGCTTGAAGGCTTGACAGGGGCCCGCTTCGTAAACGGTTTCAGCTGCTGCTCTAAGGGCACCAGCATATGCCCTTGAGTACCCTAGGCTAAGATCCGTCTGTGTATGTCCAAATAGGTACATATATATATATTAATATATATATATATATTGGTCATATCATGATGGTCATATGCACCCATCATAATTTCTGTCCTACGCATCTTTGGCCTGTGGTATGTTGCACGCACCTTGGAGGAGGTTGTTGAAAGCACGGAGCGTATATATAATATATGTTTTGTCTCTCTTTGAATCACCTAGAGCCCTGTTTGGAGGTTACGGAGACCCAAGAAAAAAACCACATGTTCGAGAGAGCTTTGCGGATTACACACACACACACACACACACACACGCACATCACCAAAAACCCTTGCATTCCGGGGGTCCAACCCCAAAACAAACTCTCACACACACACACACTCGCACACCACCTAAAGGAATGTCACCAGCAACATCTTGGGGGGCCACACGCCATAAGCAAAGCGAGGTGACACGCCAACCAAAAAGGAACGCCTCGTTCAACGGCTGCCTCACCTCACCGCTCCTCCAGGAGCCGAGCCATGGCGGAGCGCCAGTGCATGGCCGCCTGGAAGGCGCTCATGGCGGTGCTGAGGCCTGGCGGATCCCAAGATTTCCCCGGTAAAAGGGTCACTCAGCCTGGTCTTTGGTGCTTCATTGTACCCTGCGGCCCTGCCCCCACCCACTAACAGACTAACAGTGGATGATGGAAATTTAGGTCAACCACTAAAATGGTCTTCCAAACTGTGGTGACTGTTAGTGTTTGGGGGCAGGGTCCGAGTGCTTGATTTATGCTGATCAACCTCCGTTTGCTGAAGGTTTCACAGGGCTCCCTATATTTCCCCATAAAACATCACTCCAAGAGATACTCACCTTTCATGGGCCCAAAGGGTGATGTTTGAAACCACAAGGGAAATATAGGGACCCGTGTTTCGTGCCCGGTCCTGGTAGAAAAAGAGGTTACACTCTCTCCCACGTTGCAATGGCAGCTATTATCAGCTGGCATCCCTCCAAGAGGAAACTGATCTTCCAGGTACCCTCCTTCAAATGCCATGTTAGTGGGAGGGAGGGTAGAAGCCCTTTCTGAAGCGATTCTCGCCTTTTTGTTTTTGTAATTTGGGGTGTCAATCTCACCTTTGGCGGACATCATTTAGGTGAAGACTTGTATCCACCAACCACTTTTCCGGGTGTTCCCCATTAGAATTTAAATAAGTTAGTTCCAAGCCTAGGAGAAAATGATCAAAACTGATTTTGGATGGATTCCAACCCATGTTTCCTGGGTTTGCATGACATCCGCCATCCCTCGGCGTGACCGGCCCCCGGCCTACCACATCGGGCTGAAAGCGCCCGAGCAGCGCGTGCCGCAGCAGCGCCAGGGCGCCGGCCCAAGCGAAGGCGCCCGCCAGCGAGGCCGCAGAGGTGTTGAAGCCTTGGGGTTCCGTCCAGGATACAACGAGAGACAGGTGGTCGCATGTTTACATTTTTCTTTTAGCATTTTATGTTTGTTTCTTTTTGTGTTGTTTAGTTTCGTTGCCTTGATGACTGGTGCTGTTTGAGCTTTGGTTTAGATTGGTTTGCTTGGTTGGTTTGCGTCTTTGCGCCTTTGCTGTGTGATATGCTTGGCTGGGTACGCTATTGCTTGCTGTTATTTGCATTGTGCTTGCAAGCCTGGTAGCGCTAGCTCCTGCGTGCGTGCATGCAAGTGCTCGTGGTGCAGGTGGGCGGTCGCTCGATTTGAATGATTGAAGAGCAAGCCTAAGTCCCCCGATCCCAACCGTTGCTTCAAAGGACCTCCCAACATCGACAAGCAACTTGGAGCAGCTTTCGCCGGGCGGGCTAGAGTGGGATTGCCGTTCTAGCGTGTTCCAGTGAATTACAAAGGATTCGATCAGCTAACATACTGTAGCACGCGGGATGTCTCCACCGGAAATGAAGCTTCGCTTTCGCCTCTACCCAAAGGGCACCCCCTGAGAAGCTGATTAGGGAACATTCTCGAAGCCACAAGGCACCAAAAGCCACCTGATGCCATGCCTGGAAAATTGAGCGCGAGCCCAATGATATCCAAAATGCCACGCAGCGGCTCATCACACACATGGGAAGCAAAAACGATCCAGCAAACAAGCCAGTAACATCAATTTGTCAGGCAATGCATGTCTTTGCAATCCCTACCCCCCAAGCCCAAAAACGCGGGGGCCCCCTGGAATACATTTCCAGAATTTTCCAGAGGCGCGGGCCCGGTTGTCACTCTATCTTCAACTATATCTTCATGGTTTCGCGAAGCCACAACAAGTCTGAAAAGGAATTTGGAAACACAAGGAATCAAAGTCTGACCTGGCTGATGTGAGCGCCTATATGGTAGCCAGCTTTGGGGGGGTCTGGGGGTCTTGCTTATTGGCCAACATGGCAATCCAGAAATGGCTCTTGGCGGGGTCTTGCTTATTGGGCAACATGGTAGTCCAGAACTGGTTCTTTGGAACCAGTGAAAACATGTATATACTTGTTTGCCACAAATGGCATCAAATGACTGTTCGACAAATGGCCGCTTCTGAAAAGGCCTTTGGAAGTCCAGGTAAACGTGGGCAAAAGCTGGCCTTGCTGACGGCAAGCCCTTTTTTTCCTTCGCAGCTGTGCCAGATTTTGCCAGCCTGGCTGCTTGGGTCCAGCGTGTCTACTGCTTCCTCCTCCTCGCTGGGCTTGGTGGCGCAAACCACTGGCCCTGCCATTCCTGCAGCATTATCATGCCTGCGTGCGGCTGCCATCCCCGCTCCGTCGGGTGCGGCTTGTCCTCCGGCCCAAACCAAACGGTCCCAAACCATGGTTCCAAACACCCATGGTCCCAAACGCCCATGGTCCCAAAGTGTGGGTCCCAAACACCCATGGTCCCAAACCAAACAGTGTTCCCAAACACCCGCATCAAACGACCCCTGGTCCCAAACGTTCCAAATGGTGCCATCGTGCCAAATGGTGGTAGCCAAACAGCTGGTCCCAAACACCCATAGTCCCAAACGGTGGTCCCAAACGCCTCATCCCAATCCCGGCCCCAAACACCCATGGTCCCAAACAGCTGATCCCACACAGCTGTCCATGGTCCCAAATTGTGGGTGCCAACGCACACATGGTCCCAAAAAAACATGGTCCCAAACGGTGGTCCCAAACACCCATGGTCCTCAAACGGTAGGTCCCAAACACCCATGGTCCCAAACAGTGGTCCCAAACAGCTGGTCTCAAACACTGGCCTCAAACCCAAACAGCTCGTCCCAAACACCTATGTCATCCACACCCAAGCAGTTGTTCCCAAACACTCAGGTTCCAAACGGTGGTCCCAAGCAGCTGGTCCCAAACACCCATTTTCAATCGGTGGTTGCAAACAACTGGTCCCAAACGCCCACGGTCCCAAACGGTGGTCCCAAGCACCAATGGTCCCAAACGTTGCCAAACAAACAGCTGGTCCCAAACGGTGGTCCCAAACATTCATTGTCTCAAACGGTGGTCCCACAGTCCCAAACGGTGGTGCCAAACAGTTGGTCCCAAACACTCATGGTCCCAAGCAGCTGTGGGTTGCAAACACCCACGGTCCCAAATGGTGGCCCAAAAACACTCCAAACATGTGGCAAACACCCATGGTCCCAAACGTTGTCCCAAACACCATGGTCCCAAACGGTCCCAAACCCATGGTCCCAAACAGCTGGTCCAAACACGAGTCCCAAATGCTGGGTCCCCAAACATCCCAAACGGTAACACCCATGGTCCCAAAGTCCCAAACACCCATGCCAAACTGTGGTAGCCAAACAGTTGGTCCCAAACAGCACCCATGGTCCCAAACGGTGGTAGCCAAACAGCTGGTCCCAAACACCCATGGTCCCAAACGGTGCCAAACACCCATGGCAAACACTCATGGTCCCAAAGGTCCCAAAGACCCGTGTCCCAAACACGCATGGTCCAAACACCCACACCCGTACCCATCATCCCAAACAGCCATGATCCCAAACTGGTCCCAAACAGCGTGGTCCCAAACACCCATCCCAAACGGTCCCAAACACCCAAACGGTGGCAGCCGAACAGCTGGTCATACTCCCAAACGGTGGTCCCAAACACTGATGGTCCCAAACCAAAAACCCATGGCACACAGCTGGTCCCAAACACCCACACCGGTCCCAAACACGCATGGTCCCAAATGGTGGTTCCCAAACACCCATGGTCCCAAACGGTTTTCCCAAACACCCATGATCCCAAACGTTGCCAAACTGGTCCCAAACACCGTGGTCCCAAACACCCATCCCAAACGGTGGGCCCCAAACACCATGGTCCCAAACGGTGGTCCCCAACCACCATCATGACAAATGGTGGTGACCCAAACGGTGGCAGCCGAACAGCTGGTCCCAAACACCCATGGCACAGCTGGGCCCAAACACCCATGGTCCCAAACACTTATGGTCCCAAACGGTGCCCAAACACCTCCGAAACGGCCACGGTCCTCAAACCCAAACAGCTGGTCCCAAACACCCCTGGTCGGTCCCTACCCATGGTCCCAAACCGTCCGTGTCCGAGAAGCCAGACAACCACAAAGCAACTGGCTGATTTAACTGGCCCAATTCGGTCATGGCACAGACATTGGTGCCAATGTGGGCCGGCCCTGTCGCGCGCAACGTGTCGACACTCACTCACGTGCTGATATTTGCGGGTTCCGGGTTTTGTGAACAGCTTTCCACGCAGGGCTCCCTGCTTGAGGTCTCTCACTCGAATATGGGCGAGCTTGTTGAAGACCCTGCTGGCTCAGGATCATGTTCCGTAGAGGGAACACGGTGTTATTGTTCTAGACCCAGCCTTTCTTGGAGCCGTTGTCATTGCCAGCGGACCCACCATGCCGATTTGGTGTGTGTGTGTGTGTGTGTGTGTGTGTGTGTGTGTGTGTGTGTGTGTGTGTGTGTGTGTGTGTGTGTGTGTGTGTGTGTGTGTGTGTGTGTGTTGTGTGTGTGTGTGTGGTCTGTGTGTCTGTGTGTCTGTGTGTCTGTGTGTCTGTGTGTGCTGTGTGTCTGTGTGTCTGTGTGTCTGTGTGTCTGTGTGTCTGTGTGTCTGTGTGTCTGTGTGTCTGTGTGTCTGTGTGTCTGTGTGTCTGTGTGTCTGGTGTGTGTGTGTGGTGTGTGTGTGTGGTGTGTGTGTGGTGTGTGTGTGGTGTGTGTGTGTGGTGTGTGTGGTGTGTGTGTGTGGTGTGTGTGCGCGTGTGTGT